ACTATCCGGGTCTCATTTTACCGACCTCAGAAGGATGGAAGGCTGAGTTAACCTTGAGCCTAAAATGATTAATGTAAATTATCATGAAGTTGTTGCCATTGTGTTATTTTACATAAGCTTGTTATAGAAACTGAACTATTCACGTACTATATGTGCTAAGTCTCCAGATAACCAGGGAACGTTTTTGGGGAAAACTGGTTCTTTGCAGGACGTTTTTGCACTTATGTAAAGGCCTACAATAAGTTTAAGCCACCAATTGTTTTCCTTTCATTAAGCAATGCCATCAGTTGGGACCCTGGAAGTGAGCCTTCTCTAGAACAGTGCCTGCCCTCTGAAACAAGTTTCCCCTTGAGATCTTTTGCAGAAGTGGTTTTCAACCTATTTCTTTTAACAGAAAACAAAATAAATAAATTAGCTTAAATGTGATGTGTTAAAATGGCACCTCAAATTAAAGATCGGCAAGGCTAAACAGAGTACTTTATTTCTAGTCATGCTTAAGTTCAGTATTTCTTAATAAGCATGCTGAAGTGTGATTTTACATGTTACTATGAGAATGCATTTCTATACAGCACATGCCTACTCAAAGAAAACACCATCGAGCCACAGAATTACTTCCAGTCTGTCCTTGAAGTTCAGTAGGGGTTATCCCGTCATAAAAACTGTAAGGCTGCAGCTTGGATTCTTAAAGAGAATTTATTTGGAAGTAATCTGTTTTTTTTAGTGAGCCTTAATTCCAGATAAGCATTCTGCATTCTAATCTTACAACATAGCCACTTTCCTCTCAATTTCCAAGCATTCAAGGCATTCAGCAATAATCTGCTCAAGAGTCCAGATCAGAAGAACCTCCAATGTCCCTTCTGCACTTAATGTTTATTCTTCAACCGTTCAATGGATGTCAGCTAAATTAGTTTACTGCTACTTATTGTTGAAAGTATTGGGCCTAGTTTAAAAAAACTAAAGAAACTTGATATAAATCTACAATATATTACTAACAAGGTATAGGGGGTGGATAATTATGCTTACTAGTAGTACATGATTACATTACACAGATAAAATTTAAGAAGTTACTTTTTGAGTAGGTTTCTATTTACTAAAGTGTAACTAAATCACACATATTTCAGAAGCAGCTAGTTCTTACAGGAAATCCTTCCATACTTTTTTTTTTTAATGAATACAGAATATTCATAAAAATAAACTGACCAATATCATGAAGAAATAATATTATTTCTGAATAAGCATTAGGGAGATTTTGCAGAACTTAACCTTTATCTATAGGAGCCACCAATCGACTTCTTCTTCTTCTTGAGCCATATCCGTCATCAGACGTTGGCGATCATGTTGGAGATCCTATTTTTATCAACACCAAATTAATTATATTCTTACCTTTAAAGTAAGATAAATACAGAGTTTTCAGCCCAGAACAAACGAAAGAGAATTGTTAAGTTCACATACAATGAAAAATACATTATGGGCTACAGCGTGGACTATCCTTTACTTGCCATAATGCTAAAGAAGAATATTTATGTCCTGTACTGTGCATGGACAAGCTTGATGCAAGTAATAGCCTTGTGTTTAAAAATTCACTGGTCACCATAGACAAGAAATAAATGCAGGTGACAAGAGGCCAGAGAGGAATAGACTGATTTGGATCTTCTCTGCCGCTCTAGTCTCTTCTCCATCACTGTTAAATTTTTACTAACCTTCAACAACCAGCTTGTTATTCTGTTCCAGCTATAGAGAAACCCCTTAGCTCTATGGCTACCATGCATATTCAGATAAGCCTCTTTATAAAATCAAGAATGTAAGTTCTCCATTTACAAAGCCTAGCAAAATCAGGAATTTTTTTTTAAAACTCTCCACTGACCTAGAAAAATCTATCCAACTATTAGAACAGCCCTGATCAATGAACAATCCAATAGGATTTCTCTTTTGGAAGGGCTGTCCAGCAACGAATTAAATTTCAACAGCAACTTTCAAGTAAGTTTTATCATGAAATAAACCACTGGCTTCTGTTGACCTCAAAGAAAGTTATTAAAGGACAGGGGAAAGAATGCGTCCTCCAGTTTCCACCACCACCTTTTTTTTCTTTAATCAATGTCAATCAAACTATGGGGAAGTTTGGACAGTATATATGTTGACAGCAGCAAGATTATTATAAACACAAAAAAAATGGAAGGACCATGGGCAAATGGTTGCAGAAACTGATGGAGTTGGCTGAAATGGCAAAACTGACTATTTTGATTAAAGAAAAGAATATAAGTACTTTTGTTTCCACATGGAGACCGCTTCTGACCTTTGTGCTTGATGTGGGAAAAGAATGACACTTTGATTTTGGGTTTTACCAATTAGATTGACAGATCCCTCATAGAAAAGGCTAGTTTATATTATTATGAAAAAAACAAAACAAAAAAACCCAAAAGTTGTGGTTTGATTGTTAATGCCTTATTTTACTGCAACAGAGAGCATCGCAAGTTGAACACTTCTTTTTCTTTTTCCTAACCCTTCCTCACTTCTCTTTCCCCCCCCCACCGCTTTCCTATTTATTTTTGTATTTTGTACCTTATTTTATCTTATGACAACTCAATTTTTTTAAAAAAAAAAAGTTAAATAAGGAAAACCATGGGGAAGTTTATTCAGGGCAAACCACATCTCCTAGTAGGAAACGTCCAGGCTTAAAACCAGACGAAGAGGCAAAGAACAGAGGGAAAAACATGTTTTAAGGGATCTCCTCCCCAGCTTCCTTCCCCTCTCAAAACAAAGGGGGACCCCCCCCCCCAACCCCATGCAACTACCCCACATGCCTTCAAGGGCAGTCAATGCATAATATTGATTTAGAAATGAAATGTTAGAATAGTTTGGATGAATATGAAGATAGAGAAACTTATGGAAGATGGAAAAGAAGACTAGAAGATAACACCGAGGCGTCACATCACAGGGAAGGGAGGATTGATGTATTAAATGTTTGTCTGTCTTAAAAATAAAAAAATTAATTAAAAAAGAGGAGTCAATGCATAATATTGATTTAGAAATGAAACGTTAGAATAGTTTGGATGAATATGAAGATAGAAGAAACTTATGGAAGATGGAAAAGAAGACTAGAAGATAACACCGAGGCGTCACATCACAGGGAAGGGAGGATTGATGTAATTAAATGTTTGTCTGTCTTAAAAATAAAAAAATTAATTAAAAAAAGAGGAGTCAATGCATAATATTTATTTAGAAATGAAATGTTAGAATAGTTTGGATGAATATGAAGATAGAAGAAACTTGTGGAAGATGGAAAAGAAGACTAGAATATAACACCCAGGTGTCACAGGGAAGGGACCAGTGATGGGATTCAGCCAGTTCGCACCACTTCGGGAGAACTGGTTGTTAACTTTCTGAGCAGTTTGACAAACTGACTGTTGGAAGAAATCATTAGGGCAGAGAACCGGTTGTTAAATTACTTGAATCCCACCACTGGAAGGGAGGATTGATGTATTAAATGTTTGTCTGCCTTAAAAAAAATTAATTAAAAAAAAGGGGAGTCAATGCATAATATTGATTTAGAAATGAAACGTTAGAATAGTTTGGATGAATATGAAGATAGAAGAAACTTGTGGAAGATGGAAAAGAAGACTAGAATATAACACTGAGGTGTCACAGGGAAAGGAGCAGTGATGGGATTCAGCCGGTTCGCACCACTTCGGGAGAACTGGTTGTTAACTTTCTGAGCAGTTTGACAAACTGACTGTTGGAAGAAATCATTAGGGCAGAGAAACGGTTGTTAAATTACTTGAATCCCACCACTGGAAGGGAGGATTGATGTATTAAATGTTTGTCTGCCTTAAAAAAAAATAAAAAAAAATAAAAAGGGGAGTCAATGCATAATATTGATTTAGAAATGAAACGTTAGAATAGTTTGGATGAATATGAAGATAGAAGAAACTTGTGGAAGATGAAAAAGAAGACTAGAAGATAACACCGAGGTGTCACAGGGGAAGGAGCAGTGATGGGATTCAGCCAGTTCACACCACTTCGGGAGAACTGGAAGGGAGGATTGATGTATTAAATGTTTGTCTGCCTTAAAATAAATAAATAAAATAAAAAGGGGAGTCAATGCATAATATCGATTTAGAAATGAAATGTTAGAATAGTTTGGATGAATGTGAAGATAGAAGAAACTTGTGGGAAGATGGAAAAGAAGACTAGAAGATAAACACCGAGGCATCACATCACAGGGAAAGGAGGATTGATGTATTAAATGTTTGTCTGTCTTTAAAAAATAAATAAATAAATAAATTTAAAAAAGGGGAGTCAATGCATAATATTGATTAAAAAATATTTTTAAAAAATTAATAAAAAAGGGGGGGTCAATGCAGACACACACACACACACACACACACACACACAAACACACACACCCCTCATCTCCTACCTGCAGAGGGGCTGGGCGTCCCCGGGTTGTTGACCCAACCTGACCCAAAAGAGGGGCGAATGGTGGAGAAAGGAGGGAGTGGGGGGGGAGGGGTTGTGTGTGTGGTGGGGGGAGAGAGAGAGAGAAAGGCAGACAGCTGTCCGCGGGAGGCATTCTGGGGATTGTAGTCCGCGGGGCCAGGCCGGGCCTCGCAGCCACGGAGCGCGAGAACTCCAACTCCCACCATGCAACGGGAGGGAGAGAAGAAGAGCGGAGAGGAGGTGGGGGGTGTTTCTTTCTTTGCCCCCCCTCACCGGCGGCCCTGGATTCCTCCCTCACCCACCACCACCAACCCCGCCGCCGCCGCCGCCTCAGGCTCGCCGTTGAGAAGGGCAGGGAAGGGGAACGGAGCCCGGAGCTTCCTTCGGTCGAACTGCGTCACAAGGGAGACCCCCCCTCACACACACACACATACACGACCCCCGGTTCAATGCATCCCCTCCGAACTCTCTCTCTCTCTCTCTCTCTCTCTCCGCCGGCACCGGGCGCTTTCTCCCTTCGTTCCGCCGCTTGCCAGGCCGCGCCCGCTCGGCGACCCACTTACTGACAGCCGCGGCATCCGAGTGCATTTTTGGGCAGCGGCCGTAGCGCGTGTGCGCACCCACACAGCCTGCCCCGCGCGGGCGCTCCAACCGCCTCTCTCTCGTTCGCCTCAGCTCGGCTCGGCTCTTCTCTCTCTCTTTCTCTCCCCCTCCGCCCCCCACAACAACGCCCCGCCCCTCGCCAGCTGCCATTGGACGCCGCTCCTTCGCCCCGCCTCTTTCTCCCCGGCCGTCCCCAGAACGGGATTCTCTCGACGGCCACGCCTCTCGGCTAGGCGGCCCCGCCCACCGCGGGATCTCGCGCCTCCCGATTGGCCAGCCGCCGCGCGTGCCTTTTTGACTCTCGCGGTTGCCGCCGCCGCCGCCTCACCCGCTGGGTGGGACAACCGCCTCCGCCAATCAGCGGACCAAGCGCGTGCGAGAGGGGCGGGGAGGAAAAAAAAAAAAAGAAGAGGCACCGTAACACGGAGAAGAAGGGAGGTCGGCTTTTGATTGGACAAGGGGGAAGGGAATGGAGGCCGCGCCCCCCAAATCCGCGGATTGGTTGGCGAAAAGGAAAGGGACCGCCGGCCACAAATGGAATTATGAGCCGAGGTGGCGCAGTGGTTAGAGTGCAGTACTGTAACTACTACAGCTGAGTGCTAGATCAGCGGATCAAATCTCACCGGCTCAAGGTTGACTCATCCTTCCGTGGTGGGTAAAATGAGGATGCAGATTGTTGGGGACAATATGCTATTTAGTATATACTTAATATAGTATATACTTTATTTAGTATATAAATAAATAAATAAAATAAAAAGAGGGATTTCAGGCGGGATTGATGCTTTTCTGCCTTTTTTAGGGTAATTTATAATTTTTTTTTTAAAGAAAAAAAAATTGAAAGATAATGTCTGTTCAGATTCTCAATCATCCGGATCATAGTTGTCTTGTTTTTTTTCCAGTCCAGAGCATGAAAGATAAGGAAAAGCCTATTTGATAGTATAGCACCGTATTGAATTTTAAGTATTTAAGTAAGTAAATAAATACGATGGTATTGTAAATAACTCCATGGCCCTTTCCATGTAACTCCCCAGGAGCCCCAAAAAAAACCCTCATGGTATGCTTTGAAGGAGGCTTGATGTCAGCTTCCTGTTTGAAGAACAGTCCGGTAAAATTTGCAAATATAAAAAAAGGGATTACTATAACAGGGGTCGGCAACCTGCGGCTCTGGAGCTGCATGTGGCTCTTTCATCCCTCTGCTGCGGCTCCCTGCCGCTCAAAACATGCATCGCAACTGCCAATGTGCGACACCCGCCAGCACGCGATTTATTGAGCTTTTTAAGCCATTTTTTTTCCAGAGTTCAAAATGTTTTTGTTGCAGGCAGAAATAAAAATGTGTTTCCTCTGTAGCAGTTCATTGATTACATAAATGCAACACATAAATGCAACAGGTAAAAAATGATATATGCAACATTATCTTCCTTTTAGATGTCAAAAGGTTTTTGTGGTTCCCGGGGTTTTGTTTTCTGTGGGAGAAGATGATATGAAGGTGTTTTTTTTCTCATCAAAAGTGGAATGTGTTATTTTGGTTACTAGCTAAGAACCTGATAGAGTACTGAAAAAACACTTGAAGAAAGGAGACATCAGATCTTATAGTCCAGGGGTCTGCAACCTTAAACACTCAAAGAGCTGTTTGGACCCGTTTCCCACAGAAAAGAAAACACCGGGAGCCACAAAAACCTTTTGACATCTAAAAGGAAGATAATGCTACATATATCATTTTTTTACCTTTATGCTATGTATAAAAAAAAACTATAGTGTGTTGCATTTATGTAATCAATGAACTGCTACAGAGGAAACAAATTTTTATTTCTGCCTGCAACAAAAACATTTTGAACTCTGGAAAAAAAATGGCTCGAAAAGCTCAATAAATCGCGTGCTGGCGGGTGTCGCACATTGGCGGTTGTGATGCATGTTTTGAGCGATAGGGAGCTGCAGCAGAGGGATGAAAGAGCCACATGCAGCTCCAGAGCCGCAGGTTGCAGACCCGTGTTATAGTCCAACGTTAAGTATTCATAATGTGTGTCCTGTAGATGGCACTCAGGGTGTGACCAACCAATCTTTCTTTGGCCTAAAGATGAAAGAAATTAAACGCTAGATCAGAGAGACAATTAGACATATGGAGGAGGGGAAAACTGGCAAGGAACTGAGTGTTATGAAACATGCCATCAAACTTGCGTTCATCGCTAAATATGTAGACAATAGACTTTAATCTGGACACAAAACAGGTACCGGTAATTGTGATACACAAAACAAGATTATCTTGCCTTACATAATTGCAGGTTCTTTCTACTATTTAGAATTGTGTTTGATGTCCTAAAAGATATGTAATTGGGCTTAGTTAAAAATCCACAATTGAAGAGTGACACCAGAACTTGAGAGTTTCTAAAGCAGCCAAGCATCTACACAACAGACCAAGTAATGCTGTCCAACAGCTCACCGATGGTGGCCCTTGAGTTCATGGTTGAGTGCAATTATAGCTCTGGGATAAAAACTATTCAGAAAACGTGTGGTCCGAATTTTAAGTGTTCTGTATCTTCTGCCAGAAGGCAACAGTCCAAAAAGATTGTAAGCAGGATGGGAAGAGTCTCTGAGAATGTTATGCAACTTCCTCAAACAGCGAGATTCAAAGATGTCGTCCAGGGCTGGTAGCTGGAGTCCGATGATATTCTGGACAGTTTTAATGATTCTCTGTAGAGCTTTTTTGTCCGCTACAGAGCTGCTCCCATACCATGCAAGAATGCCGTATGTCACGACACTCTCAACGGTGCTGCGATAGTAGGGCAGAAGTAGATGCTGAGATGGATTTATCTTCCTGAGCATTCTCAGGAAGTACAGCCTCTTCTGTGCCTTCTTCACAAGCATGTTAACATTGATAGTCCATGAGAGGTCCTTCGAGATATAAATGTCCAGAAATTTAAAACTACCAACCCTCTCCACCGCCTCACCATTTATTTTCAGTGGTAAATGTACATCTCTCTTCCTCTCGAAGTCAATTATAAGTTCTTTAGTTTTTTGGGTGTTATTTTCTTTACCAACCAAATTAACTGCACTTCAGCTTATTGTTAGGATGGGAGAGAAATAAGGCAATTGAAAGTGCAGTATTTTGATAAATGGTTTCTCCTTTTTCCAAGTATTAATATTATTGATAAACTATTGATAAACTATTAATATTAACTATTGATAAATCATATCTAATCCTTTAGTTTTTTTAAAAAAAGTAACATGGCAGTTGTCAGATCTTTTAAAAAAGTACAGTAAATTCATTGTAAGAAAAGAGAACAAGAGGATGACCAGCTGCAAAGTGGATGGACTCACAGTGGTGAGGAATGTGACATTGAAGCACCAAGTTAGGGACAGATTCTCATGGAGAAAATCTATCTAGGTAGTCTCTAAGAGTCAGTGTTGACTTGATAGTGCATGATTAATCAATCAAAAGTTAACTGTGCTCGCAGACAGACTTATAATTAAAACCCATGCAAGATAGTACATTTTCTGACAGATTTTATTAAAAGCATATGCTTATATACAGTAAGAGGGACAAGGCTGGGATTGCAGCATCTCACCAAGCATTTTGCAGATTTTGACCTTCAGCAGTAGACACTACTGAATTCTAATATGACTACACTGAGCCACTTTCTTTGTTTACATCTTGTATAGTATAAACCAGCATCAACCAAGCATCAATCAAGATAGCTAGAAAGATAGAAAGATAGACAGACAGATAGATAGATCAATAGATAGATAGATAGATAGATAGATAGAGATAGATAGATAGATAGATAGATAGATAGATAGATAGATAGATAGAAGCTCTATCTATCTATCTATCTATTTGCTCCTAGAAGCACAAAGCTGAAAACACCAGCCTGAAGATGACGAATGAGACTTCGTCGAAACGTCGCCAAGACACTTCCAATTTTACGCGGGAGAAAACCCGAATAACCAAAGACCTACATAGATAGATAGATAGATAGGCAGACAGACAGACAGACAGACATAGATAGAATAATTATGTTTCATAGAATGTCAAATAATAAAGTTGCTAATACTTTCCTGCTGTATCACTCAGGTATGATGTTTCAATGGGCATGTTACTGTACTTTAATAATGATAAATAGTGCAAAACAAACAACATCTATTAGATTGGGACTTTACGGCGATGTTAATTTTATGTAAACATTCAACAGAGCCAGCTGTTAAAATTTTAAATCCTTTCAAATTTTAAGATTTTTTTCCCCTCTTTCCGAGAAAAACCCACTTGTAAACCTGCATTTACTCTAGTGCTGACACTTTACTCAAAAGCATGTGGATATGTTTAGTAGCATAATAATTGATTTCATATTTAAACAGTTAAATAGTTAAACATATCAACAGTTCAAACTGAAGTTTTCTCCGCCACAATTTTAAGGTGAGCTAAAAGAATCAACCCTCAATATGATAGTCAATAACGCTTCCTGGTTAAAACTGGCGCTAAGCAAATTCCTTACCAATTGATAAGCCAAGGAACCAGTGGTGAAATCCAAATTTTTTTACTACCGGTTTTGTGGGCGTGGTTTGGTGGGCATGTCAGGGGAAGGATACTGCAAAATCCCCATTCCCTCCCCACTCCTGGGGCCAGCCAGAGGTGGTATTTGCCGGTTCTCTGAACTACTCAAAATTTCCGCTACCGGTTCTGAGAACTGCTCAAAATTTCCGCTACCGGTTCTCCAGAACCTGTCAGAACCTGCTGGATTTCCCCCCTGCAAGGAACGCTTTTGCTATTCAAAGTAGGTTTAGAGGATCCACAGGAAGTAAATTACACCCATTTATGTAATAGCAATGACAGTAAAATTAAATGCTTTAAAAAAAAAGAATTACTGATAGCTTAGATATAGTTGTATTGTACAACATGTATCATTAGAGCAAAGGGCAAATGTTTAGAATCTTCTGTGCAGCTCAGAAGAAAAAGATTTCCGGCCTTAAAATGTTGCTGCTGTGGTTGTGCTGGGACTAAAGAGGGCATTTTAGGACATGATCTAAAGAGTTAGTGAATAGTTGAGCTGGCAAACAATTCCCAAAGACCACTGCCAGCTGGAATGCCATCAGAAGATCTTTGGAGATTCAGCTGCACACTCATAGCCCCAATGTCTTGCTTTTACAAGCATAAATGAAGTAAAACAGAAAACAGCAAACAAAATGTTCTTCTTACAGCAAGGACTTGTGAGGAGAGCTGGCCCCGCTCTTAGTCACTGGAGCCAAAGCTTATGATCTGGCTTCTGGAGTATGCAACCGATTTCTAAGTACAGAAATACATTGTCTTCTGCATCCTATAGTCCCACAGGATAGGGGTGTCACGCTTAATTTCATTGAGGGACGCATCAGGGTTATGTTTGACCTCAGAGGGATGGGGTGTGTGTGTGTGTGGCCACGGTGGGCATGGCCAGCTCAATGTCATTCGTGTTGGGGGTGCCTGTGGTGGCCCCAGTGCCCTGCCAACGAAAATGGGCTTCCGAGCTCCGTTTTCAGCTGCAACGGCTTCCGGCAACCCTCTGCTAGCGAAAACGGAGCTCAGGACAGCTGAGCTCAGCCGCCCAAACTCCATTTTTGTTTGTTTGTTTATTTATTTATTACTTCAATTTATATGCCGCCCTCCTCTGAAGACTCAGGGCGGCTTACAATGCATTAAGCAATAGCCTTCATATTTTTGTATAAACCTGCTTATTAGGGCTTTTGGCCCCCCCATAAGCGGTGTTTCTACAAAGTCATCTTATTGCCCCCACAATCCAGGTCCTCAATTTACCTACCTCGGAAAGATGGAAGGCTGAGTCAACCTTGAGCCTGGTGAGATTTGAATTCGCACTAATTGCAGGCAGCTGGCAGCTAAGTGCTACATAACAGCACTTAGTCCGCTGCACCACCAAGGCTCCGCGGGCCAGTCCTTCGCTGTTTCCAGGGTGGCCCCACAGACCAGATCTAAGTACCCCGTGGGCTGAATCCGGCCCACAGGCCTTGAGTTTGACACCCGTGGTCTAGGACAACTCGATGTGGCCACAGCGGCCACCTCACTACTGCCAGCTCGCCACCACCATTGTCTCTGCCAACTCACCAAAGCCAGGTTGCCGCAGGACAACTCCACATGGCCAACTCAGCACGACGTCGGAGAGCTGGGTGGGCAGATGAGCAGGTGGGCAGAGCACAGAGCAGCGAAAGCGGACAGGGGCTTCCCATTTCATACACCCCGCTGCTGCTGATGCTGCTGCCACCAAGCTCTGGGCTGAGGACGGCAGCGGCGGCAGAGATATGAAACTGGGAAGCCCCTGGCCTCGGTCACTGCTCGCCTGCCTGCCTGCCTGCCCAGCTTTTCATCCAGCTGCCTGCACTGAGTTGGCTATGTGGAATTGTCCTCTATGGCGACTTGGTGGTGGTGAGTTGGCAGTGGCAGCGGTGAGATGGCCGTGCTGCACCAGGTTATCTCATTCCGAGTCCCGAATGCACATTGCATATTCTGACGGCTGCCAGAATTACTTTAGTGCAAAGGTGGAAGCTGACCAATACACCATCAGAAGAAATAATAATTAAAAAGATCCTCGAATGCACCGAAATGGACAAATTAACAATGGAGATCAAAGAAAGAGACGACTTGGACTATTACAAAGTGTGGAACAGGTTTTATACCTGGCTAGAAAACAGAAATCAAATTAAGAAATAAGAATATAAACTGAAATTCGGTATTAATACATTGGATATAAATATATGTAACAATCCTCTTACAAAAATGTTAATTATGGGCATACAAAATAAGAGAAGGATTAGGAAGATGGAATTGAAACGTAAAGACAAATGTCGATGCAGAAAGTTGTAAAATTGTATATAAATGTTAGTTTTGTATTTTAGCGTTTGATGTATGTGTATGTTTTTTTTTCCTTTTTGTATTTCTTTTGTTATTGTGCTTTTGATTTTAAAAATGTAAAACACCTAATAAAAACTATTTTTTTTAAAAAAAGGAATCCTGTCCTTCAACAGACAGATAAAAAATCCTGTGCTGAAATGTATACAGGTAGTCCTCAACTTACGACCGCAATTGATCCCAAACTTTATGTTGTTAAGTGAGAAATTTGTTAAGTGGGGTTTGCCCCATTTTACAACTTACCTTGCCACATTTGTCAAGTGAATCGCTGCAGTTCTTAAATTAGGTGAATCTGGTTTCCCCATTGACTTTGCTTGTCAGGAGGTCACAAAAGGAGGGAGTCACATGATTCCTCCGGGACGCAGGAATCCTGGGAGTTGAAGTCCAGCAGTCATACAAGGGCTGCCGTTCCCCACCCCTGGATTAGATCTAGATCACGGGTGGCCCTTTTACAACCTGTGGACTTCAACTCCCAGAATTCCTGAGACAGCCAAGCTGTCTCAGGAATTCTGGGAGTTGAAGTCCACAGGTTGTAAAAGGGCCACAATTGCCCACCTCTGAGCTAGAGACCTGAACACCCTCAGAGTTGGAAGGGACCTTGGAGGTCTTCTAGCCCAACCCCATGCTCAAGACCTGCTACCAGACCTAGGCGGGTAGCAGCATATTTGCATAACACCCGCACCCCGACGCAAAGCGGGGCAGAACCCAAACCCCTCAGTCCCCTCTTCCCTCCCTGCGCCAATCTCTCCCGCCCCTTCACAAAAAGACGCTACAAACGGCCCTCCTCTCAACCAATCCGAGAGAGGCCACGCCCCTCGCCCCGCCCTCCGAGCAGGGCCAAAACCCTCTGAGGGGGCCTGGCCTAACGGCAAAGGCTCCTTTTCTCCTCAGGCAGGTTCCGCTGAGGGTCGAGGCGACCCCGAGCGGTGCTGGGGGAAAGCGACGGGAGAGGCGGGGAGAAGCTAGCGGGCACCGGGGAGAAAGGTAGGGGAGCGGGGAGACACGAGAGAGAGAAAGAGCGAGGGGTTGACCGGCTGGCCGGATAAGCCCTTCGAGAGCGCCCTTCCTGCCGCCTCCTTTGAGGCGAGGAATGGGCTGAGTGGAGCGAGCTCTCCCCTCACCCCCCCCCCCACAACGTTGCACGCTTCGATAGGGGCTCCTGCTTCTTCCCAGCGCGCCAATATGTAGGAGGCCTATGATATATTTCCCGTAGAGCAGGGCGTTTGGCGGAACGGCAGCCCTTATTTATGACGTGTGGACTTCAACTCCCAGAATTCCTCACCCGGCCATTCCTATTGAGCCCCAGCTATTCCCGCAGTCTTGGGAATTCTGGGAGTTGAAGTCCAGAAGAAAAAAAAAAAGGGCTATCCTTCTCCACCTCTGCTGTGTAGAGCAGGGGTCTCCAATCTTGGCAAGTTTAAAACTTGTGGACTTCAATTCCCAGAATTCCTCACCCGGCCATTCCTATTGAACCTCAGCTATTCCAGCGGCCTCAGGAATTCTGGGAGTTGAAGTCCAGAAGTTAAAGTGGGGGGAGCTATTCTTCCCCACCTCTGTTGTGTAGAGCAGGAGTCTCCAACCTTGGCAACTTTAAGACTTGTGGACTTCAATTCCCAGAATTCCTCACCCGGCCATTCCTATTGAACCTCAGCTATTCCAGCGGCCTCAGGAATTCTGGGAGTTGAAGTCCAGAAGTTAAAGGGGGGGGAGCTATTCTTCCCCACCTCTGTTGTGTAGAGCAGGAGTCTCCAACCTTGGCAACTTTAAGACTTGTGGACTTCAACTCCCAGAATTCCTCACCCGGCCATTCCTACTGAGCCCCAGCTACTCCCGCAGGCTCGGGAATTCTGGGAGTTGAAGTCCAGTCCAGAAGTTTTAAAAAGGGGGGGGGCTATTCTTCCCCCACCTCTGCTGTGTAGAGCAGGAGTCTCTAACCTTGGCAACTTTAAGACTTGTGGACTTCAATTCCCAGAACTCTGGGAGTTGAAGTCCACAAGTCTTAAAGTTGCCAAGATTGGAGACCCCTGGTATAGAGCATGTCTTAACGTTGCCAAGGTTGAGGAGAGCTGCTGTTGAGTTAAAATCGGGCACAGGAATGATTACAAGAGCTTTGGCCGTGTGAATGTGTCGCTGCAAAAATAACCAAAGGTGTCGTGACATCTCGTGACCTGAGCAGCATGACTTATTTAAACAGCCCCTGGGGCTTTCTAAGCAGAAACTTCCCCTCCCTCCAGAGGTTGTCCTGATTCCACAATGGCTGCACCCACCATCAGACTCCGGATGGTTTCTATCTTGAGGGCAACCCCATTCCAGAGGGCAGGCCTTGATAGATGGCATTATTTCATCAGAGGAACCCAAGGCCTGCCAACCCTACAAGATGGAATTGGCCAGGCAGCTAGTAGGGGAGACAGGTGGTCCCACAAGTAACCAGGTTGCATGCCAGGTAGCAACATGCACCTTGAATGGCACCTGGAAGCAGGCTGCAGCTCAAAAAGCAGAGGTGTGATATGGGCACCCCAAGTTATGCCTGTCGTTGGGTGACCGATAGAAGCCTCTGGATGGTCTTCAAAGTCAGCATTATACTAACGCTATAGTAAAAAGGGAATTTGAAGTTTTGTTAAAATGCAGAGTCGGTTGTTTTATGAATTCTTTTTTTTGTAGGACACTCACATTTCGGGTGTTCAGGTTTGCTGGAACCACTGAAGAAACATGGATTCTACTCCAGTAGATAATGAGGCCTCTTCAACAGAAAATAAGACTCAGGTTGGTCCTTCCTTTTCTGCAGAGATTCATTTTTTCCCTGGGTCAAAGATTGATCAACCTTTCTTGCTATGACATCCCTCCTGCGCGAGCTGCACTGGCTCCCAGTGGTCTTCCGGGTGCGATTCAAGGTGTTGGTCACCACCTTTAAAGCGCTCCATGGCATGGGACCCGGGTACCTTCGAGACTGACTTCTGCCACCAATAGCCTCCCACCGGTCAGTTCGCTCCCACAGAGAGGGTCTCCTCAGGGTGCCATCAGCCAAGTTATGTCAGCTGGCGACACCCAGGGGGAGGGCCTTCTCTGTGGGAGCCCCTGCCCTGTGGAATGAACTGCCCCCGGAAATACGTAAGATCTCCGACCCCCGGGTATTTCGTTGTGTACTCAAGACCCTGTTGTTCCGCCAGGCTGGGCTATCAACATAACAATTTTAAATTGGGTTTTAAATTCCTGGGGTTTTAAATTGAGCCGAATTCATTTAATAATTTTAAAATATTTTAACTGATGTTTGTCCTTGTGTTTTTAATAGGCTGTACACCGCCCTGAGTCCTTCGGGAGAAGGGCGGTATAGAAATAAAATTATTCTATTCTATGTTGTGTCACACAATTGTAATTGTATTTTATCAGCAATATAATAATAATAATAATAATAATAATAATAATAATAATAATAATAATAAGCGTTGCTAAGATCATTCACTGGAAAGTTTGGATTTGAGTACAGCAAAAACCACTGGGAACATCAGGTTGAGAAAGTTTTAGAGAATGAGAAACTCAAGATCTTGTGGGATTTCAGGATTCAGACTGACAGGCACTTAATCCACAACACACCTGACATAACAATAGTTGAAAAGAAAAAAGTATGGTTCATTGACATTGCAATACCTGGTGATGCACGGATTGAAGATAAGCAGCAAGAAAAAATCACAAAGTACCGGGACTTGCAAATTGAAGTTGAGCGACTGTGGAAAAAGAAATCCTGGAGCCCTTGGAGCAATACCCAAAGGGCTACCCTGCTATTTAGAAATTCTAAATTTGCCGGACTTGAACATTTTGACTCTACAAAAAACCACCTTACTCGGAACAGCTTACATCCTCCGATGATACCTTAACAGTTCCTAGGTCCTTGGTTAGGACTCGAGCTGCTGAGCTATGAACCAGCCTCAAAGGCTGTGAATCTCACCAAAGATTAAATAATAATAGTAATAATAGTAATAATAGTAATAATAGTAATAATAGTAATAATAGTAATAATAGTAATAATAATAGTAATACATCACACAGTCCTAAACGCTTGGGAAGTATTCGACTAGTGATTTGGGATACGAAATCCAGCATGGTCATCTCGTTTGCTGTGTATACTGTCATAATACATTATTATTATTACGTTAACTCTAAATTGAACTATTTTCTTCCCAAACATTAACTTTTTAAAATTGACTTGTTTTATGAGATTTTAATAATATTCAACTGAAGAAATTATCAACTAAATCATAGACCACGATGTTCTGCACATTCAAGAACTTTCTGTTTTGGCATGGGAAAAAACCCCCCTCAATATTTTATTTTTTTGTAGTTCAACATGCTGTTCTCATACTATTATTTATTTAGGTTTTTATTTTCAGAATCTACTCAGTTATCCAAGAAGACTCACTGGGGAAGAGATTGAAAATATCAATCAACGATGTAAAGAAGAAAGCTTTTGGTACAGAGGTATATATATTTCTTTGTTCTGGATACAAAAAAAACAATTGTATTTTTGTCTGCCTTCCTTTGTTGTACTATTGTCAAGTCCACCTGAGGATTGCTAATATTTGGAATTAACAACATGTTCCCTTCAAAAACCATATTCTTACTTGATAGGGACTGTAAATGTTCATGGCTTTTATTTATTTCTTCCATAGATAACTGCTACAGTCTGGTAAGACTCTCAGTAATTTGCAGGCAATAAAAATATCCTTTACACTTTTTAAAAAATGGAAACAACCAAAATTACTCCCTGAAAATAATTTGAAAACCCAAAATGTGATGAGTAATAACTTTAGTTCACTATACTCAACCATAATAATTACATACACGTATGCATGCAGTTATTCTTCCTCTCCATGTCCATATTCCTGTATAAACATCTGTTTCCCAGCATTCTCCCCTCCCCATCTCTGACTCTCAGTAATCTGAGTATCCTTCCACATTTCACAGGATTTAAATCCCAAACCAAGATTCTTCTTCTTCTTGTGCCATATCCGTCATCGGACGTTGGCGACCATGTTGACAATTCTATTTTTGTCAACAGCCGCATGAAAAAGTGCTGCTGAGTTTTATCCAAACCAGTCCTTAGATTTTGAAGCCATGATGTTCTTCTTCTACCTGGACCTCGTTTGCCTTCAATCTTTCCCTGGAGGATTAAGTGAAGGATGCCATATTTTTCTGGGTGTCGCATCACATGTCCAAAATATTCTAACTTTCGCTTTTTAACAGTTTTGATGATTTCCCTTTGCTTTCCCAGGTGGCTTATCCCCTCCTCATTTCTGATTTTGTCAACCCATCTTATATGTAACAGCCATCTGTAAGTCCACATTTCAAATGCTTCTAGTTTCTTCAAGTGGTTTTCTATCATAGACCAACTCTCTACTCCGTAGAGCAGGATAGAAAAGATGTAACATCTGACAAGCCTGATTTTCAGTCTTAGGCTTATGTCGTGACTGCAGAAGACCTTTTTCATTTTGAAGAATGAAACCAAGATTACATTCCAATAATGATATTTTCAGTGACTGCATTTGGAGACATATTGTCTTTATCATTATAAGGAATTTTGTTTCAATTTAAGCAATCTATTCTACCCCTCTTCTCACTACCTCACCCCAGTTTAAATCCTACAGCAGTCTAGCTTCTCTGTACATCTGATGAAATGAGTTGCAACCCACACAAGTATATGCCTTTTAATTAAAATTTTTAATCAGAAAAAGTGTTCCCACGTCCCCCTATTTTTTCACAACTCCAGTGGGACCGCAAGATCAGAAATGTTTGCTTCCATTTTGAACTAACCATAGTTTATTCTTATTTTAAAAGGTAATTTAAAGTTAAACTATTTTTTATTGACTAAAGATTGAAGTTGATTGATTGAAGTCTCAGTTCAGATGTAAACATTAAAAAACCAACCTTGGAAGGATGGAAAGCTGAGTCAATCTTGAGCCGGTCAGGATCGAACTCTTGGCAGCCGGCAGAATTAGCCTGCAGTACTGCATTCTAACCACCAAGCCACCACTGGATGCAGACAACCAGATGAAAACTTCTAATATTAGTTTACTAAATTACTTTTATAAACTGGGCACCTATCATTAGCAGATTCAGAAAAAGCCACAATATTATAAAGTTTCATCTGCTTCACTGGGAGTGAAGGCTCATGGGAATGAAAACCCAGATTGAAATTGATTGTTGCAATGTTTGTTTACAGCACTTCCTCTATCTCTTGGAAGTATGCTCATTACTCAAGGATTGATTAGTAAAGGTAAGTAGATTTTTAAAAATTAAAAATATGTGGTAAATTGTGCAAAACGATCAACTGCTGACCAATTCCATATAATAAGTATTAGGAGAAAATGCCTAATCTATATAACAATGGAACTATAAAAAACTGGACACATAAAAATTTTATGTGCAGAATATGTGAAATCTGTGCATATTTGTCTCATGATTGAGAGAAACTTCATGTCTTTCAGAGGCACTTTTTAATATCGGTCGTGAAATAATGACTTCTGCAGTGAATCTATCACTTAAGATTTTCAACTGCCTGTAATATTGCGTTCAACAGTTAGAGGAAGCAGAAGAGATTTTTCAGGAATAAAATATATGCCATTTTTTATTTCATGTCCATGTTTAATCTGAAAAAAAAAGTGTGTTGGAAAGTAATGATTTAAGTACCCTGTTTCCCCCAAAATAAGATATCCCCTGATAATAGGCCCAATCGGGCTTTTGAGCACATGGCAATAAGACCAAGCGCTTATTTCAGGGTTCAAAAAAATATAAGACAAGGTCTTATTTTCGGGGAAACACGGTACCATTCCTTCAATGTTTGTCTACAGGAATAATTGTAACGTTGGTTTGAAATATTTCCTTTTATCTTTTGGGTGAAAAATGTTTCATTATGTTAGTCATTAACAATTTAACCTTTTGTTTTCTTTCTTACAAGTGCACATTATAGTTGGACTTCCAGGTTAATAAATGTGTGTAAGTGGTAATATTAAAAATGTACTTTTTAATAATGCATTAATTAAGCAAGGTTGGTTTTGGTTTAGAGCAATTTTGATTTTTAAAGTGGCTTACAGATAGTCCTTGACTTATGACCTAATTGAGTGGAATTATGGTTGTAAGTTGTTGCTGTCATTCAGCAAGTAACCATGGGAGTCCACCTGATTTTATGACCTTTCTTGGAGGTCATTAAGCAAACCCGTTTTTATCCAATGGATGTTTTTTGCCAGAAACCAACAAAACTTGATGATACGAACCCAGTTGATCCGTGAACTAGGATCAAGATTTCTCTGTAATAAAATGTGCAAACCTGGTCTACTGTGTATTTTCCCTTGGCCTAAAAATCATTTCTTAAAAACGATTTCTTTTTCTAGGGATTATCAAGACTGCTTCTTTGAATACCGTAGTGGGTAAGTTTTGAAAGACTGTGAAGTTACTGCAGGAAAAAAGGAAAAGTGTTTAATCTATAATTAGTAAAATGAACATCTCTCTTACGCAGTGTTTCCCAACCTTGGCAACTTTTAAGATGACTATGGCTGGCTGGGGAATTCTGGGAGTTGAAATCTTAAAAGTGGCTGAGTTTGAGAAACACTGTTCCTATATTTGCACTGGAACATAGAGCATGTGGGGAATGCACATATCAACTCTTCAAGAAAGGCCTATCCAGGAAACAGGTCAAAGATTCCAGAAGTGCCATCATTGTTATAGAATATAGTAACAGAATCTTGAAAACTGACCAAGCCCTGAGCAAGTTTTCCCTCTGTCCGTTTTACACCAAACCGAATCAAAACAGGATTATTTTGAGTTACTTTCTCACACGTTTTCCTTCTCCACCACTGAATTGTCTTTATTTGCCCAACCATTCCTGCGTACTTTCTTCAAGTTTTATATTCCTTTATCCCAAGAGAAGTGAAAAACATTTAAATGTTAGCGGACTGTATACAGGTAGTCCTCAATTTACAACCACAATTGAGCCACAAATTTCTGTTGCTAAGCAAAACAGTTTGTTAAAAAGGCTTTGTCTCATTTTATGGCCTTTCCTGCCACAGTTGTTGAATCTGAACATTGTAGTTGTTCAGTTAGCAACACGGTTGTTAAGTGAATCCAGCTTCCCCATTGATTTTGCTTGTCGAAAGTTTGCAAAAGGAGATCACATGACCCCGGAACACTTCAACTGTCATAAATATGAGTCAATTGCCAAGCATCTGAATTTTGATCACGTGAGCATGGGGATGCTGGTCGTGAGTGTGAAAAACAGCTTTTCAGTCAATTTTTTCAGTGCTGTTGTAACTTTGAACAGTCACGAAAACTGTTGGAAGCCGAGAACTACCTGTAGTTGTACTGAGAATTTTAAAATAATTGTTATGTTTATAAATTAAGCACCTGTAGCCCATGCTTCTTGCCTATTTCATTAAAAATATTTATAGCCTCTGCACTGTGAGGCTTGTTGCTTCATGCAATGAGGTTTTAATTGTGAGAAGAATCCAACTTTAACATTAAAAGACAAATGGGCCAAGGCATTTCTAACGCCCACTCTCAAAATGACCATTAATGAAACACTGTTAAAGCAGATTTCTCGCATTATAGGTCAATGCAGGACAAAAAAAAAAAAAAAAATCTGAGGAAAATTCATCAGAGGTTACTGATGCTGTTGCTTTTCCTTTGTAGTTGTTGGCGCTGTGGCCTTTTTTGTTGGGAAAATGTTATATATTGAAAAATGTACTCAGAGTTTTAGAAGTCGTCTTGTGCCATTCGGACCGGAACAATACAGGTTTGTTTGGAATCCATTCTTTCAATGATAATTTGGGTTTTTTTAGAGCAGTGTTTTTCAACCTTAGCAGCTTTTAAGAGGTATGGTTCAATTTCCAGAATTCTTCACAGCCAGCATGCTAGCTAGTGTTCTACTCCAGCTATGGACGTCAAAGAACGCAGCACACACAAAGTCTGTACAAACCTTAGTTTACTAAGTTAAATCAGTCTTTTTCAAATAAAGGCTGTTAATTAACTTTCTTAACAGCCTACAAGAATCCAAAGAATAAATAATCGTAATCTTACTATGGTTGGCAGAAAGCCCAGAAGCAATTTGCAGGAAACTGATAAGGGAACTAAGATCAGGACGCGAAGGAGAGTGAATGAAGTTGTTCCCTGCAAATTGCCTCAATTGTCGTCCTTCCTTAAATAGGCTAAGGGAGTGGCCAATTAGCCCCAAGCCTTACTCTCGAGACCTCCTCCTGAGGAGCCACTCCTGCCTTTTGGCAGCTCTGCGCGCCCGTGCATCGAGAAGAGGCTCCTCCCCTTCTTCCTCTTCACTTATGGGAGCTTCTGGAGGTTCTGAAGGCCCTGGCTGAGTCCCCGCCTCTGGCACCACATCTTCTCCAGCCTCCTCATTGTCTGACTCAAGTGCCAGCTGCACAGGCTGCTGGCGCAGCACCACACCAGCCTCCTCGCTGTCGGAATCAGCTACCAGCTGCACAGGCCGCTGACGGGCCACAACAGCTAGGGAATTCTGGGAATTGAAGTCCCACATTTTAAAGTTGCTGAGGCTGAGAAACACTGCCTTATCTACCATGTTTCCCTGAAAATAAGACCTATCCTGAAAATAAGCCCTAGATTGATTTTTATACATGTGCCCAATATAAGCCCTACCCCAAAAATAAACCCTAGTTATAACCTCGTCCACTCCGGGATGCACGTGGTAGGGTGAGGCGCACGGGTAAAAATCAAACTAGGGTGGGGATTGTCGGGTTGAGCTGCCCTACTTACCTTCGGACAGTTGCAGCCAGGCCTCGCATACTCCAACACCTGCCTCGCCTTGCCAGCCCACTTCTTCTGCGGCCACTTGTGGCCGCTTGCGCGTGTCACCCCCGGCCTCTATTTCGCTGTCAGGAAAGGCCTCTGCAACTGAGAAACTAGCTTCGAATTGATGCGCTCATTGCCCCCTGGCCTCCGTTTCGCTGTCAGAGGCCTTCAGGAAAGTGTAAGAGGCAGCAAGTGGCCATAGAAGAAGTGAGCCAGCAGCAGGCTCCTACTGGACGGGGCTGTTGGTGCTGCTGCCACAAGGTGAGTCAGTGAAAGACTTCCCCCGAAAATAAGACCTGGTGCCTTTTTTGGTGGCAAAAAAATATAAGACCGGGTCTTATTTTCAGGGAAACACTGGTAGTCCCAACTCCCTGCCCAAGACAGAAGTCCTTATACTATCCTGGTGTCGGGGCTCTGACAAATGCCCATGGCAACTCAAGAGCAGACTAGAAATGCTTTGCGATTTGTCCAATCTTTTCTTTAAAAACTTCAGACATGGAGCATCTATAACTCTGGGAGGCAAGCTGTTCCATCGATTAATTGTTCTCATTGTCAGGAAATTTCTCATTAGTTCCAGATTGAATCTGAGTTTCCCCCCAGTTGCTTCTTGCATTGCCCTCGGAGAATAAATTGACATCCTGGTGGCCCCCAGGGGGAGAGCCTTCTCTGTGGGGGCACCTACTATCTGGAACGAGCTCCCACCGGAGATACGGAGGATCCCGGATCTATGCATCTTCCACCGCGCTCTCAAGACCTTTTTATTTCACCAGGCTGGTCTGGCCTAACCTTTCCCATTCTTTTTTTAATGTAAATTTTAATTTGTTCTTAACTTGGGGTTTTAAATTTGTCTTGGGCTAAATTGATTTAATTCGATTTTACTTCTGCTCTTAAATTTTTGTATTTTGTGTGTTTTATCCTGTGCCTGTTCACCACCGTGAGTCCTTCGGGAGTAGGGCGGTATACAAATTAAATAAAATGAAATGAAAAATGAAATCCTCTTCCCTGTGCCTGCCCTTCAAGTATTGGAAGATGGCTATCGTGTGTCCCCCCCACCCCCAAGCTTTCTCTTCGTTAGGCTAAACTTACCTAGTTCCCTTAACCATTCTTCATATATAGTAGTTTAGCCTCAAGACCCCTTATCATCTTCGTTGCTCTTCTGCACATTTTTATAGGGTCTCAGCATATTTTTTGTATCATGATGACCAGAGAATGCAGTAGTTCAAGTATGGCCTTACTAGATAGAATGGTGCTATCACTTGATAATGTATCCTTCTTTTGATGCAGCATAAGACTGCATTGCTTTTTTGGTAGCCACAGATCTACCGGGACACCTAAATCCCTCAGTTACTGCTGTTGAGCCAGGCACCTCCTATTCCAGGGGTCGGCAACTTTAAACACTCAAAGAGCCATTTGGATCCGTTTCCCACAGAAAAGAAAACACAGAGCTGCAACTCTAACTGGAAGTCTCCCATTCAATTCTGGAGCTGACCGGAAGTTCGGTTTCCCCACCATAGAGTCTCCTCCTAGCACAGCTTCCTTTTTAACGGAAAGCCCTATCAATTGTGGAGCCGACTGGAAAACCCGCTCCTTGCCATAGAGTCGCCTCCTGGTGTGCCGTGCTCTCCCACCCCCACCCCAACAGGAAGGTCCTCTTAAAATTGTGGTGTCAACCAGCGACGGAGCCGCAACAGAGGGATGAAAGAGCCACATGCGGCTCCAGAGCTACAGGTTGCTGACCCTTGTCCTATTCTATACCTAGGCATTTACTTTTTCCTGCCTAACTGCAGGACCTTACCCACTGGACTGCATCTTGTTGGCTAGGGCCTATTGCTCAAGTCTGTCAAGATCCCGTCTCTATCTTACATCTTATTTTATATTTTTGAGAGTAACTATTAGACTTTAGACTTATTTGAGCCTGCAGTGACCTCCCTAGTATAACATTTTGTGTCATACAGTACTGCACTGCATTCAGGAAATTTATATGCATAGATATAGTGGCTCTTTAGGAGGGTTGATAGAGAAAGAATGGAAAATTGACTAGTGTCTATTATCTCGATAAAATCACATGTCAGAGTGGAGATGAGCTTAGGGTTATTTCTGTGTTGTGCTTTATTGTATGTTTCAACTCTAATTATAGTATGATTTGACAAAACTATTCAGAGTGAACAGATTCAGTGTAATAGAAACTTATTATATAATTTTATTTATTTATTTATTTATTTTATTAAATTTCTATACCGCCGTACTCCCGAAGGACTCAGGGCGATGAACAGCCACAGAATAAAACACATAAATACAAAAATTTAAAATAGAATAAAAACGAATTAAATAATTTGGCTGAGACAAATTTAAAATACCCCATAATTTAAAAACAAATTAAAATTTACATTTAAAAAGAGGAGAAGATTTAGGCCAGGCCAGCTTGATGAAATAAAAGTCTTAAGCACGTGACGGAAGGTGTGCAGATCCGGGATCCTCCATATCTCCAGGGGGAGCTCATTCCAGATCGTAGGTGCCCCCACAGAGAAGGCTCTCCCCCTGGGGGCCGCTAGTCAATATTGTTTGGCCGACGGCACCCGGAGGAGCCCCTCTCTATGGGAGCGTACTGGCCGGTGGGAGGCTATTGCTGGTAGCAGGCGGTCCCATAGATAACCAGGTCCTAAGCCATGGAGCGCTTTAAACTTGATAACCAAAACCTTGAGGCGCACTCGGAAGACCACCGGGAGCCAGTGCAGCTCACGCAGGAGAGGTGTTACATGGGAACTCCACGTCGCTCCCATAACCACCCGCGCAGCTGCACTCTGCACCAGTTGGAGCCTCCGAGTGCACCTCAAGGGGAGCCCCATGTAGCAAGCGTTATAATAGTTCAGACGAGAGGTGACGAGGGCATGAGTGACTGTGCGTAGGGAGTCCCGATCTAGAAAGGGATGCAACTGGCGGATCAGGCGAACCTGATGAAAAATCCTCCCGTCACAGCTGTCAAGTGCTCTTCTAAAGACAGCCGTGAATCCAGGAGGACGCCCAAGTTGCGAGCCCTTTCCGTGTGGGCCAATGATTTGCCCCCAATAGTCAGTGACGGCACCAGCTGACTATATCGGGACGTCGGAAACCACAGCCACTCGGTCTTGGATGAGCCTGTTTCTCCCCATCCAGATCCGTACGGCCTCCAGGCACTGGGACATCACTTCAAGGGCATCGTTGGGGTATAATGAATGAATGACAGCCGCTTACCTATTACTGCTCCATAAACCTGCTATTTAAGGCTTTTTTTGTAATTCCAGAAATAAAAATTACTATTTTATAATTTTATAACATTTGATTTTTTTTTTAATAAACCATAATTCAACCTTTTTATCTGCTCCTAATTCCTTTTAGGAAACATTCTCCTACAGACGATGAAGGCAAAGCAAATCCTCAAATGAAAAAAACAGATACTTCTGTTTCTTAAAACAAGCACACATTACCAAAATTAATATTTTACTCACATAAATGTATCCCCACCCTATGTGAAGACATTGTACAGAATTATGAATATTGGAATAAAATGATTGTTTTTGCGTATTATTATTTTCTCTAAATACAGAGAATTCTCATTACTTGCAGTATTTCATGTTCTGTAAAATTGCTGCAGATACAGAATCAGCAAATGCTGAAACCTCAGCTGGGAACAGCTGTGTATCCGGTGATTTAAATGATTTGCTGCTCTGCATGTCTGTAAAGAAGCACGTAAGCATTGTGAGTGTTGCGTTTGTGGTAACAAATTAATTTTTGCGAGTATGAAATTTACGTACAGGTAGGCCTCAGTTTACAATGGCTCGCTTAACAACCATTCAAAGTTGCAAAGCCTTCGAAGTCTCCAGATGTCAGCTCGGGGGAATTCCTGACATGTCCGGAGCTAAATTTGATTGATGGCTCCGAGCAGCTGTTGGTGATGGCTGAGGCTCCAGGTGGGGAAAGCATGCAGCTGCAGCTGGTCAGTGAAGAGGAGGAGGAACTGCCTTCTACACCTGATCCAAGAACACATAGGGCAGAGAAATGACAGGAGTGGTGAATGTCGGCCAGACTACGGCCAGAAAACCTCACCGTTCTTCATGGGCTGCACTGGATGATGGCTATTTAGCACAGCAGACAGATGGAGGCGATGCTGGGAACATGTTTGTTTCCTAGCCGTGTGTTTTCTGGTCATCGTGATTCCTGCCTCGCTTTGGATTGACACCATGACTTCACTTGGATCATACCTTGGAAAGACGGGACTTTTCTTGCTTCCTGAACGCTCTCGTGTTGTGGATTTAAGTTTGCTTGGTGGATTTATTTTGATGAGAAACTTTCAAGTGACTTGTGGACTCTTTGGCCATTGCTCCGTGGACTAGCATTGATCTGCTCATGGTTGGACTTAATTGGGACAGTTCTGGTGTTTTTGATGAAGGGAATTGCTGGGGAATATTAATAAACTCACTAAACCAGTTAGGTGTGAGTGAGCAGGGCAGCACAGATTGAGGCTTATGGCCATGTAAGTGCTTTTAACACCTGTGGTGACTCACTTAATGACCATCATAAAACCTGTTGTAAAGTCAAGTCTGGTCACACAGTGCCTTGATTTAAGAACGCAATGACTTATGGCTCAATTGTGGGGGTGAGGGCTACTACTGCCATTAGGCTGTTCAACTAGAAGGTGTTTCCCAGCCCTAGGATTCTATGTTCTACCTTGGTCATCATGGGTAATGATCTGTATTGGGACAAGGACAGGGGAAGCAAGATCCCCACCAATTTTTTGATTCCATTCATCATAGGATCTTTTTCTTGATGGACTGCCCAAGTTAAGATATAGGACAGTGATGGCTAACCTTTTCCATACCGAGTGCCTAAAGTGTGTGCGAACCTTCAAAATGCAATGCATGTGGGGGGCCCTGCATGTGCCCCGCCCTCTCGTGCATGCACCAGGCCCCCGCATGCACCTCACCCCCTAGGCATCTGCAAGTGGCCCCCCGCACGTGCCCCACCACTCCGCACATGCACGGCAGAGACCCAAAGACCAGCTGGCCGGCGGGAGGCATGCATAGCGGAGCTGAACTGGGGCGACAGCTCATGTGCCATCAGAGGACGCTGCGTGCCACCTGTGGCACGCATGCCAGAGGTTCGCCATCTCGGATATAGGACATAAAATTATCTACCCATGGTCACTCAGGCACTCGTCACTTCCCGCCTGGACTACTGCAATACTCTACATGGGGCTCCCCTTGGGGTGCACCCGGAGGCTCCCGTTGGTCCAGAATGTGGCCGCGCGGGGGATTATGGGAGCGACGGGGTGCTCCCATGTGACACATCTCCTGCGCGAGCAGCACTGGCTTCCTGTGGTCTTCCGGGTGCACTTCAAGGTGTTGGTGACCACCTTTAAAGCGCTCCATGGCTTAGGGCCGGGGTATTTGCGAGACCGCCTTCTGCCGCCAATAGCCTCCCACCGGCCAGTTCGCTCGCACAGAGAGGGCCTCCTCAGGGTGCCGTCGGCCAGACAATGTCGGCTGGTGACCCCCAGGGGGAGAGCCTTCTCTGTGGCGGCACCTGCCCTCTGGAACGACCTACCCCCAGAGATACGCACGATACCAGACCTCCGGACTTTTCGTTGGGCCCTGAAAACACATCTATTTCATCTAGCCGGGCTGGCTTGATCCCATACTTGCGGTTTTAATTTGTAATTGCTTTTAACTGGGTTGTTTTAAATTGATGGCCAAAATTATTTAATGTCCTTTAAACTGCTTTTAAATTTTATATGTTGTGTTTTACCGTGGCTGTTCACCCCCCTGAGTCCTGTTGGAGAAGGGTGGTATACAAATTAAATAAATAATAATAATAATAATCTCCTATTATGTAAAGGATTGTCCTCTTACTGAAAATACAAGTTAGTTCCTTCCTAAACAGAACCATTAAAAGCCCTAATAGTGGCAAAAAAAAATCAGGAGACTGCAGTACCTTATCCAACTAATACGTTTTAAGTGCCTTCCAAGTCAGTGGTAGGATCCTGGTTTTCTCGGACAAACAGATTTTTAGTCCACTTCAATCCAATTTCAGCCAGGCTATGGGACAGAAACAGTTCTTGCTCACTTTTTGGGATGATCTGTACTGGGATAAAAATGGAAGTGCCACCCTCTTGGTCCTCCTGAACTTCTCAACAGCTTTTGATACCAATAACCATGGTTATCTTTCTAGCGAGGCTCTCCAAGTTGAGATATAGGGACACAGCAGATCTGTTGCTACTGGGATGGCCATTTCCAGGTGGTGATACCGTCTCCTGCCTTAGGCTGGTTGGTTATGGAGTCATTTAAGGCTTCTCTCTTACGCTCTTGGAACTTCTACATGTGATTCTTGGGAGAGGTCATATGGGCTGCGTATAGTCATCAATATGCAAATAATACCCAGCTTTACCTCTCCTTTTCATCTAACACAGGTGAAATAGTTAAGTGTTCTGTGTTTTTTCGCCAGTGGGACCGGTCTATCTGGGCAACCTGTCCTAAAAGAGTAAGCTCCCTTTCTGGAGTCCTAAATCCATCGCTGTCACTAGGCAAAGTACATTTTATGAGTTTTGGCTGATTTACCAACTGTGATAGCCCTGCCAATTTATTCATGCTCTGGTAACTTCCTAGTCGGATTACTGCAATCTGTTATACATGGAAACGTCAATTAACTGAAAATATAGCAGCCAGTCTCCTTACTGGGACTAGTTAATACAGTACATATTATGGCAGTTCTTTGCCACCTACTAGGGACTACCAGTCTGTTTCCAGACCCAATTCAAAGTGGCAGTTTTGACCTTTAAATAGCAACAGCAATAGCACTAAGATTTATATACCGCTTCATAGTGCCTCTCTTAGCAGTCAACATCTTGCCCCCAACAATCTGGGTCCTCATTTTACCAATCTCAGAAAGATGGAAGGCTGATCGAACTCTTGACAGCAGGCAGAGTTAGCTACTGCACCACCACGGCTCTTAAAGCCCTAAATGGCTTAGGACCAGAGGTGGGTTTCAGCAGGTTCTGACCAGTTCTGGAGAACCGGTAGTGGAAATTTTGAGTAGTTTGAAGAACCGGTAGTAAAAATTCTGACTGGCCTCACCCCCATATCTTCTCTGCCTCCCAAGTCCCAGCTGATCAGGAGGAAATGGGGATTTTGCAGTATCCTTCCCTTGGATTGGAGAGGGAATGGAGATTTTACAGTATCCTTCCCCTGCCACGCCCACCAAGCCATTCCCACAGAACCGGTAGTAAAAAATGTTGAAACCCACCACTGCTTAGGACCCCGTAGAATCAAAATGGAAGTCACTCCTAAACCTCACTAGCCTATCCTTGAGCTCACGAACAAGTGCTGAGACTGCCCCAACTCCTGTTGTAAAGCAGTATTTCTCAACTGGGAGAGCATGATGGCTGGGGGGAATCTGGGAGTTGAATTGCACACATCTTAAAAAATTGCCAAGATTGAGAAACACTGGACTGGAGATACAGTACAGGCCATATTGGAAAGACGGGAGAAGGGAACAGGTAAAATTATTCCTGGCTTTCTGTATGTTTTGCTTTCACTGAAAACTGGAGCAATAAAAACATTCCAGATTTTGTTTTTGCCTAACTGCCATCACTCTAGACCAGTTCAGCTGAGTCTGTCATCTGCACCTCTATAACTCTCTGGTTTGGTTCTGCAACCCAACAAGACAGATACAGACTTCAGAGGATAATTAGAACTGCAGAAAAAACAATTGCTACCAACCTGCCTTCCACGGAGGACCTGTACTACTACTACTAGACACAAGGGCAGTTTTTCCCCGAACGCCATCACTCTGCTAAACAAATAATTCCCTCAACACTGTCAAACTATTCATTAAGTCTGCACTACTATTAATCTTCTCATCGCTCCGATCACCCATCTCCTCCCACTTACGACTGTATGACTGTAATTTTGTTGCTTGTATCCTTACGATTTATATTGACTGTTTCCTAATATGATTTGATTGCTTATTTGTTCCCTATGACTATCATTGAGTGTTGTACCTTATGATTCTTGACGAATGTATCTTGTCTTTTTACGTACACTGAGAGCGTATGCACCAAGACAAATTCCTTGTGTTCCAATCACACTTGGTCAATAAAGAATTCTATTCTATTCTATTCATCAGAACTTCTGTTCTGGGTCCAAAGCAAAAGACACCCTCCATTTACACACAACTCTTTCGTGGAACAAAGTCTTTCTGGGGGGAAAAATGAATGAAAACGGAGAACAAATTACCTTTATTGCAATTGTATTACATTTCCATTTTGCAGTAGAACATCCAGCTGTTTGACCAACACTGATTAAGCTGAAATAATGAAGCAAAGACAGGTCTTGAGGAAGTTTTCACTCTTCCCAAACATCTCCATACTTATTTAACTTAGCTAAAAAGAGGGAGGAAAAAAGAAAGAAAGAAGAGAGTCATGTACATAAGATCTAAAGCTTGTCTCCCACTTTACCAACAAATGTAAGAACCTGGGATCTAACATTCAACACTATTGGCCAACATACCAATGCTATTGTATGGCTCTACTGTATAGCCATTGCTTTCACTAGGTTTAAAGCAGAAGTGTCAAACTCATCGCCCGGGGGCCGGATCCAGCCTGCAGGCTGCTTAGATCTGCCATCCTGGAAACAGCAAAGGACTGGCACCGCGGTGCCTCTGCCAGAGAAAACAGAGCTCTGTTTTTGTTGGCAGGGGGTTGTAGGAGGCTGTCGCAGCCAGAAACAGAGCCTGCGATGGCTGTGTGTGGCACTCCTGAGCTCTGTTTTCGCTGGAAGAGAGTTGCAGGAGGCCGTCGCAGCCGCAAACGGAGCTTGGGAGCCCCTTCTCACTAGCAGAGCACCCCTGACATGAGTGACGTCGAGCTGGCCACGCCCACCCCGGCCCCCTGAGGTCAAACACAACCCTGATGTGGCCCTCAGTGAAATTGAGTGTGACCCCTGGTTTAAAGCATCAGTGCAAGTACCCTCACTTACTACCGATAGCTACTTGTTTACCGACGGTCTGAGGCTACAACACGGCTAAATAATGAGAGTTTATTAACCAGTTCTTGAAGTTGTAGCTGTCATTCTGTCCCTCAGATCACATAATTGTGCTTTGGGCACTTGACAACCAGAATGCATGTACAACTGTTGCGGTATCCTGCAGTCGCGTGATTACAATTTGCGAACTCCACCGCCAGCTTCCAACGAAGTAAACGGGAAGCCTGCAGGAAGTTACAGGTTGTGGCCACGTGACATTGTGCTTAATGGCCGTGGGTGACTCGCTTAATAACCAGAGCTGGAACTAACACATCGCTGTCTTAAGCTGGGCATAGTCACGTGATTTTTCACTTTATGACTACCTCACTTAGCAATGGTGTTCCAGGTCTTAGCTGCCATTGGTAGAGTGAGGACTAACTCTGTTGTGTCATATTTGAGAGGTGCGAATTGCTGGGCTGAGTATCAGAATCTGATGCTATAAATCTGTTGTGCTGGCTTCTCTAGATGTTACCTATGGATCTGACTGGTTTAATTTGGTAAAACATTGCCATTAAGTTAAAGGGAGTGGTACGGTGGCCTAGAGGTGGAGCTCTCGCCTCACAATCAGGAGGCTGTGAGTTCGATCCTAGATACAGGCAGATATTTCTCTCTCTGGGCACACTGGGGATATACCTGCTGAACAAAACTCTGCATTGGCGATAGGAAGGGCATCCGGCCATTAAAACACTCTGCTAGCGCTCCATTCAGTCGCCCAGACTCCACCCCACAAGGGATTATGGGAGTCGTTAAACGAAGATGATGATGGTGATTGCCATTAAGTTAAAGGAATATTCTACAAAAGGTACTGCTCCATCAGTTCACTAATACTTTCCTCCCTCCATCTTGTTTCATAGTAGCTTTTTCCTGAATGAAAGAATAATGCCTTAAAACACGGGTGTCGCATTGCCGTCACGTGACGTAGTGTGACATTTTTCCCCCTTTGCAGAGATGGGGTGGGCATGACTTACGTGTGACGCATCCGGCCCGCGGGCCGCCCCTTTGACACCCCTGCCTTAAAGTATGTATAAAAAGGCAGAAGATACGCAATTTCTACCTTTCCTCCCATCAATCAAATTTTCTTTTAAACAGGGATAAATTTACTAGCTTATCTGGTTCATTTCTTTATAATTTCTTTATAAAATGTTGTATCTAATGAAAAAAAGCTGTTTCAAGTTCAGTTTCCTACCAGCAAAACAATAAACAGAACAAAACGAAACGAGTCTTTGCATTCGTACATTTTTCTTTAAAAGTTGATTTCAAATATAGAATTGAAAGAAAAAGATCACTGGCAGATAGCAAAATGATTTTTTTTTCTCCTAAAACAGAGGAGAATATTTTCCTTTTACCGGTTGATCCATCTTTTTAACCTTCCTTATTTTCTTTAAGAAAACCCCCTTTTTCCTCCTTTCTTAGCCCGAGTGAGTGGCATTAATCTCCAAAGCCTTCATCTCAGAAAGATTTGTAATTTTTTGGTGGGTTGAACATCTAGTTATTCCTCCTTTGCTCATTTTACCTACCCTGTTTCCCTGAAAATAAGACCTAGCCTGAAAATAAGACCTAGCATATTTTTACCTGTGGGCCTAATATAAGCCCTATCCCCAAAACCTAAGAGCCTGCACAGCTGGCTGGCCGCCAATTCCGTCTGGTTGCTCGTGGTGCTGTGGCCACAAGGCGAGGTGGGATGGTGGTGGAGCTGCCCCATGTGCCCCGCACCAGCTTAACCTCAGGGCCCCCCACAGCCAAGCCATCCATGCCCCGACACCTGTCTCGCAGCGGCACCACCAACAACCCTGTGGAGTAGGAGCCCACGTGGCCACCAGTCCACTTCTTCTCTTTGCTCATGACCACAATGGAGCAGGAGGCTGAGTGAAGTGCTGGTGCCCTGGCCACAAAGCGAGGCAAGTGTCGGGGTATGGATGGCTTGGCTGCGCCGGCCCTGAGGTAAATTGGTGCGGGGTGCATGGGGGCAGCTCCATCCCCCCCCTTGCCTCATGACAGTGGTGCTGGCATGCTGCCTCGCCTCCTGCCCCACCGTGAGCAAGCAGAAGTGGGCCTCCCTTATATGGGGTGTGTGTGGATAAGGCACCCCTGAAAATAAGCCCTAGTGCTTATTTTGGGACGCGAAAGAAAATAAGACCCGGTCTTATTTTCGGGGAAACACGGTATTTTTTTCCCTCCAACTCACTAAAAGTTTCCAATTTCCAAATACGCTCCCCACTGAATATTTACCTTTCTCCTTTATTGGGAATGGGCTTGTTCGGATTTCGGATCTCGGCATTGTTCCAGCCTCATGTCCTTCTCGGTTTCTGTTTCTGAGTTCTTCATACGTGACTCTTGTCCTTTTAGGAGCTTGTTCCACAGACGCAGGTTCTTAAAGTGAAGAAGAAAAAAACACCCCATCCCCCGCTCCATCAAATAAATTTAATAGGGTCTTGCTGTACACTGATAGCAGGTGTTAGGTTGCACAATATATTTATTTTAGCAGCCTTTATGATTTCCGCACGAGTTTTTTTGGCTTTGGGGGAAATTTAAAGAGATAGTATTGGAATGATAGTTGATGTAAATTCAAATGATTGAACTCTTATGTGTGATTTAAAATTTTCAGTATACCGTATTTTTCGGACTATAAGACGCACCTGAGTATAAGATGCACCAAGATTTATCCCAGAGCTATAATTGCACTTAAATGAACTAAAGGGCCACCCAGTGCTCCTGGGGCCTGGAGAGGGCAAAAATGCCCCCATTTTGGTGAAAAATGGGTCCGTTTTTAGCCTCTCAAACCCCTACGCGTTGTGTTTTTGCCCTCCCCTGGCCCCAGGAGCACTCTGCAGGCCTCCCAAACCTTCTGTGTGTTTCGTTTTTGGGAAAAATAGGCCCATTTTTCACCAAAACGAGGCCTGCAGATGTACTCCTAGGGCCCTGCAATGTGCTCCTGGGGCCTGGGGAGGGCAAAAATGCCCCCGTTTTGGCAAAAAATGGGCCCGTTTTTAGCCTCTCAAACCCCCCTCGCATTGTGTTTTTGCCCTCCCCAGGCCCCAGGAGCACTCTGCAGGCCTCCCAAACCCTCTGCAGGCCCCATTTTTAGTGAAAACGGACATGTGGGGCAGGGATATGGGAGGCCAACAATGGCTGTATTCGGTGTATAAGACGCCCCAACATTTCCACCCTCTTTTAGGGAGGAGAAAAAGTGTGTCTTATACTCCGAAAAATACGGTATTTCATATGCACTGGGTATTTCGATGTGGACTGATTTTCAGAGTACCAAAATTCAAAGAGGGCGTATGAATGGTCAACCTTAGGAAATTTAAGATATGAGAACGTCAACTCCCAGAATTTCTGAGGTCAGGAAACTTCGCCCACATACATGCCAACTCTCTCATCAGTCATGGAGGAAAATCCAAAGATCACTGATGAAATCTCATGGGTGGAATTGGCAAGAAAAGGAACGATTAACATTGGCCACTTTTTATACATACAGATAGCATATTTATTGGCACCCCACAGATGGTCCTCGACTTATGACCAGAACGGAGCCCAAAATTTCTGTTGCTAAGTGAGACAGGCAAGTGCCCCGTTTTACGACCTTTCTTGCCTCCGTTGTTAAATTAGCAACACGGTTGTTAAGTGAGTCTGGCTTCCCCCTTTGACTTGGCTTGTCAGAAGGTCGCAAAAGGGGATGACGTGACCCCGAGACATTGCAACTGTCATAAGTATGGGTTAGTTGCCAAGCGTCTGAATTTTGATCCCCTGACCATGGGGATGCTGCAATGATCCTAAGTGTGAAAAATAGTCATAAGTCACTTTTTTCAGTGCCGCTGCAACTTCGAACGGTCATTAAACGGACTGTTGTAAGTTAAGGGCTACCTGTACACCGCTTTAGTGCTGCTACTGTTGTGGCTCCGTTACCTGAGCCTGTGTCATCGGCAGGAGAGGACTCCGAGAGTGAAGGAGAGGAGTTGGCAAGGCCTCCCTCTCCAGGACCCTCCTCTCTGGCAATGCCTTTGGTGTCCGCCGAAGGGCAAGAGATAGGGCCAGGGCCAAGCATGTCCACGCAGCCACAGATGGACAGTGATGAGGGCAATGAGTCTTGGCTGGATCCACGCCAGCGTCGCAGAGATAAGCACGCGCAACAGAAGAAAAGGCGTGCCCGAGATTAGGCTGAGTCACTGGACCATACCCCACAAGGTATAAAAGGGAGCGTGGTGGCCAGTCAAACCTTGTGACGAACAAAGCTGAAAGCTTCCCCACCATTCTGCATTGCCGGACTTTTGCTTTAAGACTGGATTATCTCTGGACTTGATTGTAATTATTGAGCTGCTTTCCTTTGATGTATCAGAAGTGGGGAGAAGTTATCTCTCCTCTTTGTAAATAATAAACTCTTGGCAGGCAGCCACTAGCTTGTTGCCAAGTTCCGTTATCATAAGGAAAAGGATTTTGCCGGCTGGTTTGGTCTTTAACTCCTGAACGTCTGTTGCTGTGTGTGCGTGGAGTCGGGGACAGAACAGCTACTTACCTTGCACTGATACTTCATATCTAAATAACCTAAAGAGGGCTTGAGTATTCAAATGACTGCAGCAGTCTACCTTGAGGGGTGCCATCTGTAATTCCAGTCGGAGTGGATTCATTCATGGAAGAGCTAAACGGGACTGCTCCGTAGGATCTCGGTCTTGGTGCTGTCTCCGTGGCTGAAGCCCTTTCAGGAAAGGAGGACTCTCTTGAAAATTCAGAGCGCTGGCTTACAGATCTGGGGAGAAAGAGAGAGATTGCAAGTTCTTAGCTGGTGTTATATGTAGAGGTAGTCCTTGACTTACAATAGTTCATTTAGCGACCGTTCAAAGTTAAAACGGCGCTGAAAACAATGTGACTTATGGCCGTTTTTTCAGCGATGGGTCTTGGCAGCTTGCCCACGATCAGGGGATCAACATTCGTTAAGTGTGGCAACCGAGTCAGGTTTGTGAGCGTTGCTGTGTCCCAGGGAACGTGTGGGAACCCTTTTGCGACCTTCTCACAGGGAACGTCAACGGGAAGGCCAGATGCAGTTAATAAGAGGCTTGCTAACTTTTATCAACTAAACCGATTCATTTAACAACTGTGGCATCAAAGGTCGTAAAAACGGGGCACAACTCACTTAACCAACGTCTCACTTAACAACAGAAATATTGGGCTCCATTGTGGTCGTAAGTCGAGGACTACCTGTGTACTCGTTGGAACCTCTTCCTCAAAACACCACCAATGGACGTTTGTAACAATAAAGACAACTATTTAAATCACGGCTTCTCAAACTGGGCAACAGCTTCCGTTCCCAGAATTTCCCAGCCAGCTGTGCCTTCCAGACCACACATTTTAGGGGAGGGAGGGAGGAAGGAAGGAAGGAAGGAAGGAGAAAGGAAAGAAGATACCTGACTCAGGAGGAACTTTAACAGATATGGAAATGGGAAGGAAAGTTAATAGAGCCAATTTCAGTGTTGAAGTTTTCATTTCGTTTTTATACTATTATTAAAAGAAAGCTGGGTGGAGGGGAAATGGAACAACTTGCCTGCAGAAGTTGTGAATGCTCCAACACTGGAAATTTTTAAGATGTTGGATAACCATTTGTCTGAAGTGGTGTAGGGTTTCCTGCCTAAGCAGGGGGTTGGACTAGAAGACCTCCAAGGTCCCTTCCAACTCTGTTATTCTATTCTATTCTATTCTATTCTATTCTATTCTATTCTATTCTATTCTATTCTATTCTATTCTATTCTATTCTTCTATTCTATTCCATTCCATTCCATTTCTATTCTATTCTATGACTATCATTAAGTGTTGTACCTTATGATTGTTGACAAATGTATCTTTTCTTTTATGTACACTGAGAGCATATGCACCAAGACAAATTCCTTGTGTGTCCAATCACACTTGGCCAATAAAGAATTCTATTCTATTCTATTCTATTCTATTCTATTCTATTCTATTCTATTCTATCTTCTCTTTCAAGCAAGACTACCTTTTCAAAGACTTGAATAAATGTCCAATGTTTCCATTTGTCTATATTTTTAAATAACCTTCATAACCTATGTTAGGATATGGTTTGAGCCTAACAAGTTGTCCAGGCAATATATGTGTACTGTAACTTTAATATGAATATGTATTGTGTGACTTTAAAGTTTTCTTGCTGATTCATTGTAATGCTGAGTCATGCTGTAATTAGATAATCACTGGTTGTGAATGTATTTAAGTAAGGTAATGTAACGTATTCAGTTTGATGATATGCTACCATTGTGTGAGGAGTTGCTATGATAAGCTACCATAATGTGTGGAGTTGCTATCCATTGTGCTATCATCGTTGGATGGATCTGCTACCATCATGGTTTGTGAACCAGAGTGAGTTTGTTATTCTAACCAACTACTGTTTGTGTGGTAAGAAGATTCGTTGTATCACTGGACTGATTTAACTGGCAAAGACTTGGAATTTGTTTAAAGACTATGAGACTGTTTTTCTACTATAAAGTAAGCTTTTGATAAACCAGTTTGCATATCTTTTATTCATTGCTCTCAGCAACGTTTCCTTGTGCATTTACTCTGCTGGTTGGTAACACAACACCAATATCCTTAACAACCTTCTTTTCTGATTCTAAGGCAAATGTAAACAAACACAATGAGTATTATCACCAAGCTGATGCTGTCCCAGTCTAAAAGAAACTGACAATTTAATATTTTTAAAAGATCTTGGAATTCAAGCTGATACCACTCGTATGTAGACCGCACTCATTTTTCTGAAGACATGGCCTGCATTATTGTAATGGGAAAAGTAAACAGCAGTATGCAGTGACCTTGTTATTTTAAAACAGGTTTTCTTTCTAGAAATGAAAATCTAAATAAAAATTCTTACCGCGATTCATTCTTCAACATTTCTCCCAGGGGTGAATCCTTTAGGTTCATAAACTTCTCTTTGCATACATTTATGTACGATATCTTGCCAGCAAACCATCCACAGATTCCTGCAACTTGTTTACAAAGGCAGGCAAATACTCTTTAAGATGTTTGACAAAACGACATTTTAAACAAAACAACACAGTTAAAATGGAATCCGTGAAAGGTCACACACGGAAAAACAATCTCTTCCTTAAAACACACTTTTAATTTTCGAAGCATTTCCCCTCCATTTCTTGATGACAATGCACACAGAACTTATAAATTTTCTAAGCAAACAGTATTTTCTCTCTCTTTTTCAACAAGGTGGTGATAAACTCCTGATAAGATCACTCTTGCAAGTCTAAAGCCAAAATCCTTGCTATAGTTTAGGACAGGGTTATATTATAGCTTTCCTACTTTTCCTATTTGTATTTCTATTTTTTTCAGAAGGAAAATGAGAAATAAATCTATCTGTTCATCATCTATCTATCTATTTATCTATCTATCATCCGTCCATCCATCTGTCGTCCATCCATCTGTCTATCATCTATCTATCATCCGTCCATCCATCCATCCATCATCCGTCCATCCATCCATCCATCCATCTTCATCCATCCATCCATCTGTCATCCATCCATCCATCAGCTATCATCTGTCCATCCATCCATCCATCCATCATCCGTCCATCCATCATCTCTCTATCATCTATCTATCTATCTATCTATCTATCTATCTATCTATCTATCTATCATATCATCCGTCCATCCATCCATCTATCTATCATCTATCTATCATCCGTCCATCCATCATCCATCCGTCTATCTATCTATCTATCTATCTATCTATCTATCTATCTATCATCATCCATCCATCATCCGTCCATCCATCCATCCGTCTTTCTATCATCTATCTATCTTCCGTCCGTCTGTCCATCCATCCTTCTATCTATCATCCGTCCATCCATCCATCATCCGTCCATCCATCCATCCCATCCATCCATCTGTCATCCATCCATCCGTCATCCATCCATCCATCAGCTATCATCTGTCCATCCATCCATCCATCATCCGTCCATCCATCCATCATCTCTCTATCATCTATCTATCTATCTATCTATCATATCATCCGTCCATCCATCCGTCTATCTATCATCTATCTATCATCCGTCCATCCATCCATCATCCATCCGTCTATCTATCTATCTATCATCTATCTATCTATCTATCTATCTATCTATCTATCTATCTATCTATCTATCATCCATCCATCCATCATCCGTCCATCCATCCATCTGTCTTTTTATCATCTATCTATCTTCCGTCCGTCCATCTGTCCATCCATCCTTCTATCTATCTATCTATCATCCGTCCATCCATCCATCCGTCTGTAGTCCTCGACTTACAACGGTTCATTCATTCAAAGTTACAACAGCACTGCAAAAAGCATCTTATGATCCATTTTTTCACCAGTTACGACTTTTGCAGCCTCCAAAATTCAGATGCTTGGCAACGGGTTCATATTTATGACTGTTGCTGTGTCCCATGGTCATGTGATCACTTTTTCAGACCTTCTGACAAGCAAAGTCAATGGTGGAAGCCAGATTCACTTAACAACTGGGTTACTAACTTATCCGCTGCAGTGATTCACTTAACAACTGTGACAAGAAAGGTGATAAAAAATGGGGCGAAATTCACTTAACTAATGTCTCACTTAACGACAGAAATTTTCAGCTCCATTGTGGTCATAAGTCGAGGACTAATTCTATCTACCTACCTTACTTTACTTGGCATATAGTCTCAGATAGTGACAGAGATGTCTTTTTCAGGGGTGTAAATGATGACATGCCTGACAACTTTAGCCACACAAATGCTGAAAATTGAGCATTTATGTCAACAGTTGGAATGCAAGCCAAAACGGTGGCATTTGTACATGTGTCATTTTATATCATTGCTAGAGAACAGGATTATATAGAGAGCTTATGCACCAAGACAAATTCCTTGTGTGTCCAATCACACTTGGCCAATAGAAAGTTCTGTTCTGTTCTGTTCTATTCTATGTTGACCCCCAATACTACTGTATCAAGGGGTTGATATTATTAGCAATAGTACTATTAGTTCATTTACAATTTATTAAATTATTTTCATATACTAAATGTTTAAGGGTTGATGAACAATCTGAAACTTAACGGAGGGATCAATGAGCAAAACAGCCTTGGAGACCCTACTAAATAGGCAGTGTTTGCACAGGCATCTAAATTTTGAATCTTGATACTATTGTCCTATTACGTTGACCTGCTTCTCGTGTCACATTTCTTATAGCATTTGTTAAAAGGTGCATAAAAGGTGCATAATATTTTCTCTTGAGAAATCGAACGAGAATCCTCACCCTCAACTCTGAGCCATTAGGTACAACGGAAGTCTGATATGAATGAAAACTCACATGCCATTTTTGGTATAGCGCCGAACTTCGGATGAGATGTAAGGGTTCCTGATAATCAACATTAAGAGGGGGGGAAAAAAGGAAAGTTACAATACAAAACTGGTTTGTAAAAAAATAACCAGGCAATTATTTCACTTTCAGCATGTTTATATCATTTAGGTTCATTCCCCCCCCCCAATTAGACATATAATTTTAAAAAGTCATCATTAAAGATTTGCATAATATGTCAACCTAGGAATGGATTTTCCCCCCCCAGAATTTCTAAACATCATATATTAAGACAGCGGTTCTCAACCTTTTATTTATCACAGATTGCCTTTAAATACATTTTTGTAGAGGTAGGTCAAAGGTCACGGTGCCAAGCTTCGAGCAGCACGCTGCCTTAGCTCATGCGCTGTAGGTCTTTCCTGCTTTTATGATCTCATTTTTGGCTCTGATCTGGATTATCTCATTTTACCTAGAGAGGACGGCATCTTGAGAGGGGGGTGAATTATTTCTACCAATTAGAAAACTGTTACTGTCCTATCTTTTATCTGTGTGTGAAAAAGTATATAAAAATAAAGCTCTCTACGAAAGCGGGAGAGACATCTTGGGAGACATCTTGGAACAGAGCAAAAGCCTGGACCTCTGATTTACAACACATTTTGGGGCCACAGACCCCCAAGGCTTAACTCAAAGTTTAAATCACAAAATGTCTTCAATCCTTCGTGGACCCCGTGATGAAATCAGTCCAGGGGTCTGCAGACAAGAGGTGGAGAACCACTGAGTTAAGATATACAGATTGCAAGGTGGTAATAATAATAATAACCCAATGTCATCGGGGCACTTGGTACCATGTCCAAGAATTTTATAAGATACATCAATAAATTGCAGCTTCCTGCAATAACACCAGCGGAACTGCAAAAAACTGCGCTACTTGGAACATCGTACATCTTAAGAAGGTACTTGGTTGATACCTAGGACGCTGGCAGCAACCCGTATCAACCATTAGCACCAGTCGATGGTATTTGTGATGCATTTTTGAATGTTCAGTTGACTGAGTTTCATGTTTAATGAATAAAGTAAATAATAATAATAACAACAACAAATACAGCTGGAAAAAAAATAACAAAATATCGCGATCTGCAAATTGAAGTTGAGTGATTGTGGAGGAAGAAATCAATGGTTGCACCAATAATAATAGGAACCCTTGGAGCAATACCCAAAGGGCTGCCTAGATACATGGAAATTTTGAACTTATTAGACCTGAGTATCCTGACTTTCCAAAAATACACCTTACTCGGAACTGCCTATATATTCAGACACTACTTTAACACCTCTTAGGAGCTTGGTTAGGACTTTTAACTGTTTTTACCAGTTCTAGACTATGAATCGAATTGAAGATTAAATCAATTATTATTCTTTTATTCATTAAACATGAAACTCAATCAACTGATCATTTAAAAATGTGTCACAAATACCATTGACTGGTGCTAATGGTTGATACGGGTTGCTGCCAGCGTCCTAGGCAGGGTGGATAAAAATCAATGATTTTTTTAAAAAAATCAAAAAAATCAAATATTTTTTTTATTTAAATCGGTTTTTTTTTTATTTTTATCGAATTTATTTTAATAAAAAAACTTTTGGGGTAAAAATCTATTGTAAGATAGTTTTCTATTTAAGATACATAAATAATTTAGTTTATTCAGCATGAAATGGAGCTTAGTTATGTAGCAGGAGGCTGTATATTTTGCAACACTGGGACTATCGGTGAGTCAACAGTGGGTCAAAGGAGTAGCAGAGATGACAGTTGCTCTTTAAAAATTATGATTTAAATCGAGTTGATTTAAATCAAGCCTTTTTACTAGTGATTTAAATCAGGATTTAAATTGTGATTTAAATCAACTCGATTTAAATCAAATCCACCCTCGTCCTAGGTATCAACCAAGTACCTGCTTAAGATGTACGATGTTCCAAGTAGCGCAGTTTTTTGCAGTTCCGCTGGTATTATTGCAGGAAACTGCAATTTCTTGATGTGTTTCGTAAAATTCTTGGACATGGTACCAAGTGCCCCGATGACAATGGCTATCACTGTTACATGTTTCATCCATAGCCATGTAGTTTCGATGGCCAGGTCACAATATTTTGTGATTTTTTTCCAGTTCATAAACTTCGACTCTTTATGTTTCCTAGTACAGTGATATCAATAAACTGTACGCTTCAGCCCTCCACAGCTGTGATATCTGGCGTGTTATGTTCCAAATGACGATCCGTCTGTATTCGAAAGTCTCACAAGATATTCACTGTCTCATTTTTATTGTTGTTGTTGTTGTTATTATTATTTCTGAGGTACTGGTTCAATAACAGTAGAGTATTTCATTCACCAGCTTTTTAAAAAAAGAATATTATATAAAACAACGCTACAATCAAGAGCAGTATATGAAGGCAAAATAATACAAAGGAAAAGTGAAAAATGGCAGACTTTCAAATTTAAAGGTATTCGGAACATACCTTTACGAACTAATATATGGGTGACCACCATGGCAAAAGTTGAGAAGGGCAAACCTAAGAAGAGGGGAGGAAAATGAATATTTGTGGGGAAGTGAAATTTCAGTACATCCTGAGCAACAAGCACTAAACCTGTAAATATGTTTCAGATAGTGCAAATCAGAAAACTTTCAAGTCAACAGCAAGGGAACCCAAGTACAAATATCTCTCTGACCATTAGATGACTTCTCACTCAATCAAATTATTTCACAGAGTTACTGTACGAATCTTAGTTGTTAAATCTAAGCGTCTGGAAACGTCTACCTTCTTCTTAGCTTCTAGAAGAAAAGATGAAATAAAAATACAACCCACAAACTGGGTTGATATACTTGCTAAACCATAATGTGGCTTAATCCAGGTTCTCATGTTGTGGGAATCCAGTCACAGTGATCTATCAATGAGAGTCTGTGGCTCAGCATAATGTAGGTGTTGGCACAAAGTGTGGGATAGGAGATATATAGAATAAAATAGATCTGGAAGGGATCTTGGAGGTCAAGCAGGACATCCTATACCCGTGATGGCAAACCTATGGCACGTGTGCCACAGGTGGCACGTAGAGCCATATTAGTGGGCACGCCAGCTCAGCTCTGGGGCGCATGCACGCGCCGGCCAGCTGATTTTCGGGCCTTCTGGGCCCACCAGAAATAGGGAAACAGGCTGTTTCCTGCCTCTGGAGGGCCTGGTGGGGGGGAGGAGGCCCTTTTTTCTTTCTTACCTGGTTCCAGATCCTCTCTGTGTATCTGGGAACGGCGAAAACAGCCTTTCCCACTTCCTTGGAGGCCCTACGGAGGCTCAAAGGGCCCATTTCCCCACTCCCGGTGGGACAGGAAATGACGTTTTTTCCTGTCCCCAGCCTCCAGAGACTCCTAGAGAGGCTCCTAGAGACTCCTAGAGAGGTTCTGGAGGCTGGGGACAGCAAAAAAATGTCACTTTCTGTCCCACTGGGAGTTGGGAAATGGGCTTTTTCAGCCTCCGTAGGACCTCCAAGGGAGTGGGAAAGGCTGTTTTCGCCGTTCCCAGATACACAGAGAGGATCTGGAACCAGGTAAGAAAGAAAAACGGGCCTACCAGGCCATCATGTGCCAGGAGCAGGGGGGGAGGGGGAGGGGGTTGCGCACACATGCGCGTGGGCACGTGCGCGCGCGACCCTCCCCCGCCCCCACCCTCCTGGCACGCAATGGCAAAAAGGTTAGCCATCACTGCCCTATACTATTTCAGGAAAGTGGCTGTCTAGTTTCTTCTTAAAAGCCTCCCATGGTGGAGCGCCCACAGTTTCTGGAGACAAGCTGTTCCACTGGTTAATTGTCCACACTGTTAGGAAGTAACTCAGGAGTCTCTGTATTTCAACAATGGAGAGTGGAACTGAATCCTGTTTCACATGAAAATATGTGCAGTCATCTCCTCCACTGCTGCATAAATCCTAAGACACATATACTACATTACAATGTGGGACACAGAAATATTTTCACACAGCCCTGAACCCACACATACTGTATTTTTTGGAGCATAAGACACACCTTTTTCCCTCAAAAAAGAGGGTGAAAATCCGGGTGCGTCTTATACTCCGAATGTAGCCCCGCCCAGCCTCTCAAACGGAGGTTTCAGAGGCTGAAACCAAACAGAGCTTCAGAAAAAAAGCCTCTGAAACAAAGTTTCAGAAAAAAAGCCTCAGAAGCAGAGCTTCAGAGGCTTTTTTTCTGAAGCTCTGTTTCAGAGGCTTTTTTTCTGAAGCTCTGTTTCAGAGGCTTTTTTTCTGAAGCTCTGTTTCAGAGGCTTTCAGAGGCAAAAAAAAAAAAGCAAGGCACAGAGCTCACAACCAACGAACCTGTTGCTAAAATTCACCTCTGGGAACAGCTGATTGGGGGTATTCCAGGAGGCCGATCCACCCGCCAATCAGCATTTTTCTTATTTTCCTCCCCAAAAACTAAGGTGTGTCTTATCCTCTGGTGCGTCTTATACTCTGAAAAATACGGTATTTTATAACTGGCATTTGATTTTTTTTCATCATCTTGGAGTAACTGTCTCATTCTTGAAAGATGATTTTGTAAGCCCAACGTATCACCGATGTGTGTATTATATGGAAGTGCCCCCTCACCAACAGGCATAACCCAGTAACATAACTGAATTGTACATCTATGTAAACTGTATCACTTATAAAATCAATTATTGATTATGTGGCAAGAAAGGACATTGCTCAACAACAAAAAGCACAAGCAAGGAACATTTTACTTACATCTGTATAAGAAGCTCTCTTTAATACATTCTCGGCTTACTCTGAATTCTTCTGGTGTCAGTTGATATGAATGATCTATCTTGTGCTTTTATTAAAAAGAAAACAAAAACAGAACACTAAGCATTAGAGTTCTAAGTATCTCAGCTGTAATAAATATCAGCACTAAGAAGTATGTTTTCCTATGATTTTAACAGCTTATGTAAAATTTTAAAAATTTAAAACCATGTTCATGGTAGATATCTTTCTATCCCCCAGAGAAACCATTTGATTTGTACGTATAACCCTTTATGGTACATGTATACTTTCAGATACATGGGGAATGGAAAGATTCAAAGAGGCCATCTATGTCAAAATTGAACGGCCCTCTCTCAATAGAGGGGGAGTGTTCTGCCCCAGCTCCGGATCCCAAAGAATGTAGCAGACACAAACTCCGAACAAAACTCAGTTTACTTCAAAACACAGTCTTTTTGCAAATGCAGGCTGTTAATAAAACATTCTTAACAACCTGCCAGAAATTCCACAGATAAGATAGAGTCTTACAAGAGTTGGCAGAAAGCCCAGAAGCCTGGTTGGCAGAGAAAATCCAAACTCAATGATCAGCGAATGAATGTTGTTTCCTGCAGCTTTTTACAAGCTGTGTGCAAACTTAAATAGGCTAAGGGAGTGGCCAATTAGCCCCAAGCCTTGCTCTCAAGGAGACCTCCTCCTGAGTAACCACTCCTGCCTTTTGGCAGCTCTGCGTGCCCGTGCATTGAGAAGAGGCTCCTCCACTTCATCCTCTTCACTTCAAGGAGCCTCTGAAGGTTCTGAAGGCCCTGGTTGAATCCTTGCCTCTGGCACCACATCTTCTTCAGCCTCCTCGCTGTCCAACTCGAGCGCCGGCTGCACAGGCTGCACAGGCTGCTGGCGCGACACCACACCAGCCTCCTCCTCGTCGGGATCATCAACAATCCGTGCAGGCCACAACAGGGAGGGATATGATATCATCGATGTCCAATCTATAACATAGTCCTTTCAACAGTTCCAAGAAAGCTCCACCCCCATTTGCATCACTCAGGTGAATCTGAGGACACAGACAAACCTCCCAAGTGGCCACAACAACTCACTAAAAGGCCAAATGCAAATGGCCAGCATCCTTCCATTCCCCACCATCCAGTCAGAGCTGAAGAAGCTTCTTCGACGAGAAGCGAAACGTCTTCGAAGAAAAAACAAGAAAGCCCATTTGCCTCCAGAAAAAGCACCTTTGAGACAACCATGACCTGAATGACTGAGAATCTCCATAGACATTTAGCGATATATTTTAGGATGAATACCCCTTGAATGGTGCAGGAGTAGGAACGGATTTCCAGAAAACATGTAGATTACAAGAACCATTTGTACCACTCTGGCTATACCTGACTAGGTAGGTAATACCTGGCTAGGTGGCTCAGTGGCTAAGACACTGAGCTTGTCGATCAGAAAGGTCGGCAGTTCAGCGGTTCGACTGGTCTCCTGTGTGAGCAGGGGGGGTTGGACTAAATGACCTCCAAGGTCCCTTCCAACTCTGTTACTTACACTCAGGTGATCCTGAGCACACAGACAAACCTCCAAGTGGCCTCAATGACTCTCTAAAAGAGTTACAAATGACCAGCTGTCTGCAAGGGGTATAAATCCTTCCATTCCCCACCATCCAGTCAGAGTTGAAGAAGCTGCTTGGATGAGAGGCAAAACGCCTTCAAAAGAAAAAAAAACAATCAGAAAGTCCAGTTGCCTCTTGAAAAAAAAAAGAAAAAAGCACCTTTGGGTGCAACCACGACCTGGATGACTTGAGAATCTCCATAGACATTTAGGTATACACTACAGAGCTGAAGAAGCTGCTTGGATGAGAAGAGAAACGTCTTCAAAAGAAAAAAACCAGAAAGTCCAGTTGCCTCTTTTAAAAAAACTACCTTTGGAGACTTTACTTGCTCTAAACCTAGGAAGGCTGGGATTGCGCTGCTTCCTAATCTAAATCCCACCTGTTCTTCCTTCCTACAGACACATACACACATTAGGTGGCTCAGTGGCTAAGACACTGAGCTTGTCGATCAGAAAGGTCAGCGGTTCGAATCCCTAGTACAGGTCTCCTGCGTGACACGGGGATTTATTTATTTATTTATTTATTTATTATTGATTGATTGATTCGATTTATATCCTGCCCTTTTCTGGAGACTCAGAGGGCTGCTTACAATGCACTAAGCAATAGCCTGCATATTTTTTTGTATATACCTGCTTAGTAGGGCTTTCGGGCCCCCCCTAAGCGGTGTTCTTTTTTTTATACAAAGTCAGTTTATGGCCCCCACAATCCGGGTCCTCATTTTAGCTACCTCGAAAGGATGGAAGGCTGAGTCAACCTTGAGCCTGGTGAGATTCGAACTCGCAGTAATTTATTTTTTATTTTATTTTATTTTATTTCGAATTTATATACCGCACCTTCTCTCGAGAGACTCAAGGGCGGTGTAGAGCCAGACAAAAACATACAATACAAACATTAAAAAACAATTAAAAGGATATATATATATATTAATTTGGCCCCAGTTGCAGGCAGCTGGTGCTACTTAACAGCACTTTAGTCTGCTGCGCCACCAAGGCTCTAGGTTGGACTAGATGACCTCCAAGGTCCCTTCCAACTCTGTTACATTCTGGATCCGACTGAGAGCAAGCATTATAATGGGGGGGGGACACAAGAACCTCAAGGTCAGCGGAGCTTATCTTCCAATTGCTCCAATCCGAGATGGAAGAACCAGGCGGGAGAACCCCACACGTTCGATCCTTCGCTTCCCCCGGCATTGAGAAAGGCAACAGCTACCTTGCCAACCATCCCGTCCATGGCACCGTAGGATCCGTGACCTCGCGACTGTTCAGGCGGCTCCATAGGTCGGGCTATGGGGGGGCAGAAACACCGGGACGAGGGAGGAAAAAAAAACACGCCCTCCCTCAACCAGTCCCACTCAGGGGACTCTGAAGCCAGAGGGCAGAAAGCCCAGGAACCGGAAGTTCCGCTCAGAAACCGGAAGTTCCGCTGGAAAGGACGCCTTCCGGGCAAATGGGGCTTTCCATAGACAAAAGGCGGCTAGAAGGACCCAGGGAACAGAGTGGTGGGGCGAGAGAGGCGCTGCGGAATCTCGCCGTTAGAGGTAAAGCTGATGGAGCCAAGTTTAGGTTGTTAACTATGATGATAACAGCTGCGGGCGATGCTTTCAATCAAGCGCACGCTCGACTCCAAATGGTTGCTTTTTTTTGGGGGGGGGGTTTGCAGGATTTAATCCTTTACTGTCCCAAAGGTGGTTTTTGCAAGAGGCAACTGGACTTGCTGGTTTTTTTTTTTTCTCTGAAGGCGTTTCGCTTCTGATCCAAGAAGCTTCTTCAGTTCTGTAGTGTGTAGCTAAATGTCTATGGAGATTCTCAGTCATCCAGGTCGTGGTTGTCCTAAAAGTGTTTTTTTTTTTTTTCTTTCTTTCAAGAGGCAGCTGGACTTTCTGAATTTTTTTTTGGTTTTTTTTTTTGAAGACGTTTCGCTTCTCATCCAAGAAGCTTCTTCAACTCTGACTGGATGGTAGGGAATGGAAGGATTTATACTCCTTGCAGACAGCTGGTCGTTTGCAGAAGAAAGTCCACTTGCCTCTTGAAAAAGCACCTTTGCTTGGGACAACCGTAACCTGGGTGACTGAGAATCTCCATAGACATTTAATCCCTTAATGGTTACCAAAAATATGGATTTGTTGGGTGGGTGGGAATTTATTATTTATTTTTATTATTTAAATTTCTATACCGCCCTTCTCCTTTAGGACTCAGGGCGGAAATGGGGGGGTAATCGCTATAATCTTTTAATAAAATTGCTATAAAACCAAGCAGGAGGCAAGTTTTGACAAATCACTAACACCCCTCTCTAAACCTGGTCCAAAATTGGCATATCTGCCAGAGCAGATTAAACCAGGCAGACCACTGCACTGCAGAATAAGTACTGTTCTAATCTTATTTTATCTGTGTGACCGGTTTTGCCCAATAAAGCCACTCTAGGTTTCTAAGGGGAAACACTATTCTTAAACACAGAATGTGCAGTCTTGGGGAAGCCCATAATATCAGCATTGGAAAATACCTTTCCCTCCCTGATTCCTACTTCCTGACTCAAAGTGGGGGGGGGGGGTCTCTTTTCATATATTTTTTTAAAAGGCAACCCCAGTGAATCTGGTGGGGTTTTTTCCAAAACAGGCAAGATCTCTGTTTAAAATTAACACCCCAGTTTCTGCTGGCTTGAAAAATAAGATGTGTGAATATGATTTGTAAATAAGTGTATGGAAGTTAAGTGTCTGGCCTTAAAGCTAAAATTGTCATGGGGTAATGGGACTTCATGGGGCATCCTGTAACTTCTAAACCAGTCAACAAAAGCTGAAGAGATCCTAGCCCCTTTCGTAGGAAAAAAAAAATTAATACTAGGACATCTAATACAACTTGAGGGTGCCTCTGTGCCTGTAGATGAATCAATGGCCACATCATGAGGACGCTATTATTCCTTTAGAAACAGTTAATGAGATAATTGGTGCCAAGATTAGCAAGATAGGGTACCAGTGAATATAATTGCAGTGTCAACTGCTCTACTTCTGACCTTTTTGATTCTTGATTACCACTTTGGAATGCCACTCATTGATCCTTGATTGCCAGAATGAACTGCTTGTTGATTTTGACAAGGTGTAAGGACAGGGAGGGCGGGAAGGAGGACAGACATTATAGATAAAGATTCGTTTTTTATCATTCACTTTTTTGTACCATCCATTTTAAGCACTGTCAAGGAAGAAATGACAAATGAACAAATCAAACCTAAACGTTCTTCAGACCTCTGTAGTCTGCAATCGTAAATTGATTAAAATTATTTAATAAAATATTATTTCATCAAAATAATATTCTAATTTTCTAAATATTTCTGTTGCTTTCTGTTAATAAATAATAAGATTAAACACTGGAGGTCCCAGCATAGCAACCATCTACTTTGTTAAGGTGGGACTCTTCTGAACTCGATCTTTAATGTACGTAGACTTTCAGACAGCTTGCTAACCTATTTACCGGTAGCTATTAAACTTAATCCAGCCACTCATCTCAAGTACATGACTCTGGTCAGCTAAGAATGATTAAAATCAAGATTAAAATATGAACACACTAAGAAATTACATTTATTTATTTATTTATTTTATTCACATTTATATGCCGCCGCTCTCCCAAAGGACTCAAGGCGGCTCACAACAATAAAACGACAACAGTAAAATGAAATAGAAAAATAATTCAATTAAAAACCCAACAATTAAAACTGAATTCCCAACAGATCAGGAGATTTGTTGAAAAAGCCATGTCTTTAGGTCGCCGTGGAAGGAGCGGAGGTCGGGAGCTGTCCGGAGCCCAGTGGGTAGCTCGTTCCAGAGGGTTGGTGCAGCCACAGAGAACGCCCTCATCCTGAGTGCCACCAGCCGACATTGTCTGGCCGATGGCACCCGAAGGAGGGCAGTCCTATGTGAATGCACTGGGCGCAGGGAGGCCGGTAGGAGGTGGTCCTGCAAGTACCCCAGGCCCATGCCATGAAGGGCTTTATAGGTGAGAACCATTACCTTGAAGCGGATCCGAAGGACCACTGGCAACCAGTGCAGCTCGTGCAGGAGAGGTGTAACACGGGAGTAATGGGACACCCCCATAACAACCCGTGCGGCCGCATTATGGACCAGCTGGAGCCTCCGGGTGTACCCCAAGGGCAGCCCCATGTAGAGGGCATTGCAGTAGTCCAGATGAGAGATAACGAAAGCATGAGTGACTGTCCGGAGGGCATCCCTGTCTAGGAAAGGTCGCAACTGACGCACCAGGTGAACCTGTGCAAAAGCCCCCCTGGTCACGGCCATCAGATGGTCAACTAAGGACAGACACAAATCCAGGAGGACGCCAAGATTGGGAGCCCTTTCAGAGGGAGTAAGCCACTCCCCTCCCATCAGTAGTAATGGGGCCGCTTGCTCCTGGGATGCTGGCATTCACAGCCACTCCGTCTTGGAGGGGTTGAGTCTGAGCCTGTTCCTACCCATCCAGACCCGCACCGCCTCTAGGCACTTGGACATCACGGATATATGACAGGTGAGAAGAAAAAAACCCAACCAAACCTATGATACAATCATGATGTAGACTGTACTACATACCAAGGGCCACAAGCTCTCTATCGAAACCAGGTCTTCAAGAACTTACAAAAGGCCAGCATCCAGCAGGGTCAGGGCTAGTTCTCAATATACATAGCATCCTGACAACTTTTCCTATCTTTGAATTCTCAGCCATACTTCTCCCGGCTTTTGTAGACATTCTTGTCCATATTGACTTAATAATCTTGTCTGGCAAAAGCATTAGTCATCCCAACTCAGTTTCTCTCTAATATTCCCTGCCTATTGGATATTATATCCCTGCTGGTCCCAAAATTAACACTGAATGTAGCAGAATGAAACAAAAATTAATAAGCAGTTGACTAATTTTACTAGCTTTCTATGCATATTCTTCATGGTTAATATGTCTTCTCTTGCTAAAAATAAGCTTGGAAGTTGGGAGTGCTGGACCGGCTTTGAGGGTTGGGGGATGGAGGGTTGGGTTCTCCTCCATTTGCTTGAATACCTTTGAATATCACCTGCAAGTTACAACTGGTCCAGAATGCAAGCATAGTGATGAGTTTACCTATACAATACCTCTCTTGTGTGTTGTACTGGTTCCCAGTTTCTTCCAGGTGCAATTCAAGGTGCTGATTATCATCTTTAAAGCCCTGCATGGCACAGATTACCTGCAGAACTGTCTGTCTCTAAGGTCATTTAACGGTACCTGTTCTACCAGATCAGAAAAGGTGAGCATGTTCCAAGTCCCTTCCCTTAAACATTGCTACCTTGTGGGAGCCAGGAAACTTGTCTTTTCCGTGGTAATCCAGGCTCAACTCTTCTACCTGAAGTTTGGCAGGCCTCTACCTGTCTAGCCTTCTGAAAAGTACTGAAGACCTGGATTCCCCCCCGCCCCGCCCCCCGCCAGCTCTGGGATAGGGTGAGGTAGGGGAGAAGATTTTTTTTGAGGAACTGTCTGTTGGAAGTTTAACTTTGTTGTAATAGATTATTGGGAGCTTCCCAGAGTTTGATAATAAGTTATAAATGTTTTAAACAAACAAACAGGGAACAGGATAGCCTTTTCTACTAATCAGGGTTGATTGCAGAAAAGTTCTTTTCAAGCATCTGTCATTTGGATCATAGGAAAAAAAATCACACATAGCATATAATTAGCAGTTTTGTATGGAAAGAAGTGATCAATAGTTGTTTCATCCAATCAGTAGTGGGTTTCAATTTTGGCCGCTAACGGTTTGCTCGTGGGTGCGTGCGCACTCGCACGTGTGATGCTTTTGTGCATGTGCAGAAGCTTCTGCGCATAGAGACGTCCAGGAAGGTGGGCGGAGCCTCCTGCGCCGCCACTACTGGCTCCAATGTATTTTTAAAAATGAGAGATTACATACATGAAGAATAAGAACCAAATTATACAGTGAAAACCAATCAAAGCTTCTTGTTAATTCCTGAGTGTATAATATCCCTCTTAATGTTGGTCCAATAGAGATCCTTATAGCTATGTCAAACCTACACAATGCTGCTATTATAGTGTAGACATAAATTTAATATAGTCACCTCACTTTTCAATTAAATCAAAAGGATACACTTTGACGTGTACACCCAGATATATTTAGGTGACGGGAAAAGCTGCTCACTATTTATGAACTATTGCAAAAGAAGCATACTTCAAGCCATTTAAACTACTGGAATTCCATGAAATCTCCCTGAGAAGATCTACAAATGTTAATCTAATAAGGAACCAGTTAGTGACGTACTTTCCAGAGTACTATAAATAGTATGAAAAAACAAAGCTGCAGGCCGATGTGGCTGATATGAGTAAGGAATTTCCTTTTCCAACAGTGGATTCACCATGCTAATTATGAAATTCGTATCCTGAGATTTTTCAGTTGAAGTTGTTTGCTGGTGGCCTCAAAATATTACTACCAGCAATTAAAAATCAACTGATTTGTTTATTCCATTTGTTTTGGTACATTTGTTCACTTGCAGTTGCATACAGTAAGGCATTTTAAGCCATACTATTTTCAAAATATCCTGAAGAACTGTTTTTTTTCCCAGGGCAATGAGTTGGAAGGTTTTACACCTCTATGGACTGTTTTTGATTGTTTTGAAGTTTTGAAGCGGCCTCTAGGGCAATATGTTTTATTATGTAATAGGTACAATGCACTTTATTTAGATAAAGATTAACAGAGTTGGAAGGGACCTTGGAGGTCATCTAGTCCAGGGGTTGCCAACCTTTCGGACCTCAGGGACCACTAAATTCATAATTTTAAATCCCATGGGCCACTAATACAATTTTTTAAAAAAGATAAATAGTATTTAGTGCAATATAAAAAATGCAAATAATTTTTCTGCGTACCACCAAAATTTTCTCGTGGACCACCAGTGGTCCGCAAACTACCTGCCTTAGGTGAGAGAGCATAGTAAGACGAGGGAAGCAATATAAAATTGCTGGCAACAGCTGTTTTAGAAGGCTTGAAAAAGGTAAAAAAATCAGAAGGAATCTGGTAGCAACCTTTTGCCACTAACACATTTTATTAAAAGGCATAAACTTTTGCGAGCTGTAGCATTATTACTATATGCGTATCTTTGTAAATACTTCCTTTAAAAAGAAGAATATTTGGTGGTTTCTTTTATTTTCAAAACTATATTGTAAGATTCTTATTTTGGTTATTTATTTTTATTGCAATTCCTCAATGTATTTATTTATTCAACTTCTATAATTTAATTTATAAGTGAAATATAGCAGTTACCATGACAGGAATTTCTGCACTGCTAATGAAACAGTCACCAACCATTTCATTCATTGACAGAAAATTCTAGTGACAGATAAATAACGGTACCCATTGCTGATCCCAGTTCTTCCACAAATAGTTTCTGTTCACCTGTTCTCTCCCTAAAGATAATGCAAGACAGAGGCTAACAGTCTTGCAGCTACCCATGGATGACTACTTCAATACCAGTATAGCTAATTTAAACCTGTCTCATTCGTAGACTACAGATGAGATAATGGCAACATTATGGGACACGGAAAAAAAAGATGTTGCCAGGTCATGTTGGGACTATGCTTAAGTGCAAGTGGGCAAATTGTCCATATTCATGAATGAACTGACATAGAGTTTCCTATGTCCTAGAATCATGTAGCATTTATTTTATTTGCCCTAATGTATCCAATAAATTGATAGTAATTTCCTTGGGTGCTCAGCAGAGGTGGGTTTCAGCAGGATCTGACCAGTTCTGGAGAACCAGTAGTAAAAATTCTGACTGGCCCCGCCCTTATCTATTCTCTGCCTCCCAAGTCCCATCTGATCGGGAGGAAATGGAGATTTTGCAGTAATCTTCCCCTGGAGTGGGGTGGGAATGAAGATTTTACAGTATCCTTCCCCTGCCATGCCCACCAAGCCACGCCCACCAGACCATGTCACGCCCAAGCAGCCACACCCACAGAACCAGTAAAAAAATTTGAAACCCACCACTGGTGCTTAGTGATACAAATTATTAGGTGCTAGTCTAATCTGCCCTGCTTGTCTCACTGCCCCATTGCCTAGCTCTTCACTCCTGACTCTTGTGTATATTTAAAGGCTGTATCATTTTGGGAGGCAGCTATAAAACTTATGTACAAAGTCCAACTTAGTTTGCACATGACATTAAGCTGCTGATGAACAATTATTTAATAAAGATGTCACAGTTGGCTGGCCAGCTCAAAACCCTAATACATAAATCATGATTTACAAGCTAGGGCACTTTGGTTCACCTATCACATTAATTAATTGGTTTGGTTTTAGTTTACTTAGCATGACATGTGAACCTTCCATTGAAAAGTAGAAATAAAAACTCCGCAGAGAATATCACTTGTTCTAATTGTGACAGTGGAGTATTCTTCATAAAATATACACAGTTCCATTTTTATTTTGGTTATTGTCCAATGCTCAAATTATTCGATGCAATACAAAACAAAAACAACTATCAAAGTGGGATATGACTCATCAAGAAAAAATATTTAAAAGTTCAATACAGTGGAAATTTGGTTAAGAATTTTGTGTGCTAGGAGAATAGGTGCTCATTAAATGTGGACTTAATACAAAAGTATGCTGAAGTGGCTTAGTCAAGGATGAATTAATGAATGTCAAATTGCAAAACAAGAAAGAGCAAGCAGATCCTGAGGGAGGGGAAGACGAGCAAGTTGTAATTGAACAGAACGAATAAGGTTCTGTGCGTCAACTTAAAGGAAGTCATGATTATTTGCAAGAAAATATTTATATTTTCTTATCTCTTGCCTTTAATTTCTTTCAGAGTTTTGCATAAAATTGCTCTGTTGGATAAATAGGTTCGTAAGAAAGTCTGTATATTGTAGCGTTTTGTTGTTTTTCGCTGCAAAAGTGTAATACTGCAACTGTTCTTCAGAATTCTGCAAAAGAGGAGATAAAAAAAAAAAAGAAAGAATGAAAACCAACGTAAATTTACACACTTTGCCTATCAGCAAGAACTATTGTTTAGGTAGCTGCAAATCAGTTAAGGGACTCTTATCTTTTTTTGTTTTTTGTTTTGTTTTTATTTTACCTCAGTTTCTCAATCTTGGGAAATTTACGTGTTGGACTACAACTCCCAGAATTCTCTAGCCAGCGTGCTGACCAGGGGATTCTGGAACTTTCAAGTCCGCACACCTTACAGGGGTCCCCAAACTTGGCAACTTTTAAGACTTGTGGACTTCAACTCCCAGAATTCTCCAGCCAGCACAGCTGCGCAGGTGTGCAGCACAGCACAGCTGGCTGGAGAATTCTGGGAGTTGAAGTCCACAAGTCTTAAAGCTGCCAAGTTTGAAGACCTCTTGCCTTAAAACTTGCCAAGGTTGAAAAAGTCTCGCTTTGCAACAGGAGCTCGGTGGTCCCTTCACTCGTGGGCAAGGCTGGTGAAGTCGAGGAGTGGCTTCCCTATCGACCAATGGCAGGGAAACGAAACGTGCCGAAAGCACCAATGGCGACGACCATTGACAATCCCTTCGATACGATTGGCCGTCCCTCGCCTTTGCGTCCGGGCTGGTGGGGGCGGGGCGGGGCGGAGGTACGGTGTGGTGGTTTCAGACTCGCTCTGTCCCAACCAGCCAATCCGAAGGAAGGAGGAAGGCGGCGGACGGAGGAGTAGCGTGGCTCCCGGCGAATGAGCGAGCGCGATGTTTGTTCCTGTTTGAGAGAAGCCCGCCAATCGGGAAGGCGCCGGGGGCGGGGAAACGGTGCTGGGCTGCCGAGTTCTCGAGAGAGAGAGAGAAGAAAAAGGAGCGAGGAGAGAGAGAGAGGAAAAAAAAAAAAGAGCCCCCGAACGAGCCTTCCCGTCGCTCTCGGATCCTCAAAAGGACCCACAGCAACAGGCGGCTGGCTGGAGGGCGGCGGCCATGCAGGTCGCCGGCATGGAGGGGGAGTCTCTGGGCTAAGTCCCCGAAGCATCCACCACCCCGGGAGGAGAAGAAAGCGCCTTCTTCAGCTCGGGGGGGCGGGGCGGCGGGTGGGAGGAGGACCGCCGCCGCCGCCGTCAGGTAAGGCGCCACCTCAGCGCAGAGCACCTTCCAAACTGTGTGTGTGAGGGGAAACGGCGACGCGATGGGGAAAGCCGGCCCACCTGCTGAGGAGAAAGAGAGAGAAAGAAAGAGAATTATCCCGTAGGAGCCGGGCAAATATCATCTCCCTCAGCGTCAGTCTTCTTCCTCCTCCTCCTCCTGCTGCCGCGCGGCTTTTGTTCGCTTGGCGGGGGGGGGGCGCGCGCGACGTGGGGGGGCTTTGCCTTGAGGCCGTTATTTCCCCCCCCTCACCCCGCCCCTCTTGTTGCCCCTAGAAACGGGAGGAGGGAGAGGCTTCTCCTTCAGTTTCGGCCAGCTGAAAACCCCCCCCTCCTCCTCCTCCTCCTTCTCCACTCCCCCCCCTCCCCTCTGCAACGGCGCGCGCGCTGGTCCTCCTGGCGGGCCGGCGCGAGCGTGTGAGGAGGACGCTCCCTCCCTCCCACCTCGCTGTTTTTCCTAGACGCCGCCCGCCCGCCAACTTTTTGCGGGGGGGGGAGGGAGAAAGTGAGCTGTGGAGGGCGGGTGTGTGTGTGTCCGCGAGACGGCTTTCCTCCTCCCAAGCTGGTTTGTTGTTGTTGTTGTTGTTGTTTTTTCTCCCCACTCCTCCCCACCAAACCCCCCCCCCCCCCCCCCCCCCCCCCCCCCCCCCCCGCGCGCGCGCGCGCCCGGAGACACGCGTGAGGATGTGGGCGTGACCTTTCCTCGCTGGCCCCGTCGTTCCGGCTGCGGTCGGGGCCGGCCACTCCCAAAACGGTGGCTTTCTTTTTTTCCGGAGCTGAACGAGCAAGCCTCTCTTTAACCCACCGACCCACCCTAAACATCCCTTGCCCGTGGGACTGCGGTGGGTGGAAAGGAGCTCCCCCCACCCCCGTGAAGCCAAAGGACGGAAAAGAAGAAGAAGGCCGGTTGGCCGTCCGGCGTTGGGAAGCGTGGGTAACTGCGCGACACGTGTGGCGCCGAGAACAAGGGCTCTCTGTGGAGGGCGAATATGGGAACGGCGGAGACAATGGGTCTTTCTTAACGCTCTTCTTCCACAGGCCTGACTTGCGAAGATGCGAAGGATCCTTTTTTAAAACCCCCCCCCTTCTTTTTGGAGGGCTCCTTGGTGCTTGCTTGTCCTTCTTGCAGACGTTTCATTGCCCCTGACTAGGTAAGATCACCAGGGCTGTAAGGAATGGGGTTTGCTGTCAATTTATATTCCGGTGGCTTCCCCTGTCAGTATTGGTGGGGGAGGTTTTAATAAAGGAGAATATTTGTAATGAAGGGTCCTTGGTGCTCTCTGGGCTTCCTTGGCCTCTTGCAGACATTTCATTGCCCCTAACTAGGTAAGATCACTAGGGCTAGTAAGGAATAGGGTTTGCTGTCAATTTGTATTCCGGTGGCTTCCCCTGTCAGTATTGGTGACGTTGGTCTTGGAGGTTCAGTATTGGTGGCGTTGGTCTTGGAGGTTTTAATAAAGGAGAATATTTGTAATGAAGGGTCCTTGGTGCTCTCGGAGCTTGCTTGTCCTCTTGCAGACGTTTCATTGCCCCTGACTAGGTAAGATCACCAGGGCTAGTAAGGAATGGGATTTGCTATCAGTTTTATATTCTGGTGGCTTGCTTGTCGGTATTGGTGGGGGTGATCTTGGGGGTTCCAATAAAGGAGAAGGTTTGTAGGTCAGGGTAGGAAATGAGGTGTCCTAGGGTGCTCTCGGAACTTGCTTGTTTTCTTGCAGACATTTCATTAAACTAGGTAGCATCATCAGTGCTAGTAAGGAGTGTGGTTTGCTGTCAATTTATATTCTACTGGCTTCCCCGTCAGTATTGGTGGCGTTGGTCTTGGAGATTCCAATAAAGGAGAATATTTGTAATGAAGGGTCCTTGATGCTCTCTCAGCTTGCTTGTCTTCTTGCAGACATTTCATTACCCTAACTAGGTAACACTCATCAGTTATAGTAAGGAGTGGGGTTTTCTGTCAATTTATATTCTACTGTCTTCCCCTGTCAGTATTGGTGGGGTGGTCTTGCAGGTTCCAATAAAGGAGAATATTTGTAATGAAGGGTCTTTGGTGCTCTCTGAGCTTGCTTGTCCTCTTGCAGACATTTTATTACCCTAACTAGGTAACAGTCATCAGGGCTAGTAAGGAGGGCTGTTTGCTGTCAGTTTATATTCTGGTGTCATGCTGGGTGGGGGCGGTTTTAGGGATTCTTTGCTTGGGCTGTTTACTGTTAGCTTATTTGGCAGTTTCTTGATTGGGGTATTGCTTACTTGGTCTGAAGTTAACCTTGGAGTTAATCCCATGCTGATCTGGGTGCTGAATACTGGTGAAGAGGTGCTGGAGTCTTTTTGTTCTCTTTTGGGCTGGTTCATTGTCTCTTGCATTGTCTATAGATGTTGTTAATGTCTATGTGTCTGTTGATTCTTTTTTAAATTCTTTTTTTTTTAAGTTGCAGGGATATGGCATGGCTCATTCTGAAGAAAGACCCAGCAATCTTTAGGGTGTGCGTGCTATTTGTTTTGGGTCTGGGTGTGTAGTGCAAGGATACCAAAGATGCTAATTGTGACGAGTGGAAATTAAACATTTTAGCAAATGCTCCTCTCTTCCTCCTCCTAAACTGAGAGTTTATTCCTTCCTGAGTAAATAGAAATCTGTTGTTGTTGTTGTTGTATAAATAGGTGCTCAGAGCATATTTTATAGGGAATATGTGTTCTAATACACTGGCAGCTGTCTGCAACTCACCTGTAGGAGAGACTTGAAGATTTCCAAATATGGACTCAAAACTTGGTTCCAGATTGTTTGTTTCTCATACGTGATGCTACCATTTAGTGGAAATGCTCTCTGTAGACCTTGTTCACAGTTAGAAACTTTAAGATGTCTATTACTGGCATTACAGTTCTTGTTTTGATATTGAAATGATGTATGGGTGGTAACATATGAACAAATGGTAATAAGAGGTGGGGTGTATTTCCTTGAAGTTTGAAATTGTTGGTGCTTTGTGTTTCTTCATAGATTTGCTTGGGATAGGAATTGCTGTTTTCCCTGGCATGTTTTCTTCCAGATCTTGTATGATGTATTTCTTATGAGAAGAAAAATAATATCTTCTGTCCCCCATCCCACCTTGTCTTCAGTTTAATGATGCCCTGATGTTTTGCTTTTATTTCTTATGGGAAGAAAAGTTGGAATTCTAGTACAGTAAGATCTGGAGATCTATATATTTGCTGCACTTCAAATATAATTGTTATATTTGCTGCACTTCAAAATAATTGTTTTAAAGTGGATTTGTATATAATCACACATACACACACAAAATAATAGGTGGTGTTATAGACAAGAATTTATTTGGACTGAGAAAATTTTTGTTTGCACATTATGTTACTATATTACAGTGCTCTTACTGCAGTTGTAACTACAGTAAGCTATATAACAGGCTTTCAGAATCTCAGAAAGTAACAGAAGTACTAAAAACAATAACAAGGATCAAATCCAGAGATGCATTGGGTTGGGTGTGGTTAACACCAATTGATACAGTGTTTTTATAGCTATGAAATGATACAGACATTACATTTATAGTGAGACATTCTAGTTTTTAGGGTGATACTTACCAATATATGAGGAGTTATTTTTTCAGTTGACAAATAATGATGTGAACAATATAGTCTAAAAAAGGAAAATGGAACAAGGACGAATAGACTTCTTTATATTGTTTGTATGGGTGTTCCTCAACAATAACTTGTTCAATGACATTTAAACTTAGCAGTGGCTCTGAATGAGTGGTACTTCAGACAGTCTTGTAGTTACAATTGCAGTGGCCTTGCAATCACATGATTATGATCTGGGTGCTCAGTGATTGGCTCACAATTACCATGCAGTATCCCACAGCCATGTGATTGCCATTTGTAACCTTCACTGCTGGCTTCTAACAAAGTCAATAGGAAAACCGGCAGGAGGTCACAAATGGTGACCACATGTCATCACACTTTACAACTTTGCTTAAGGATGACAACTGGGAGGGCTGTTACTAAACAATGTGGTCACATGATGTCACATTTTACGGCTATGTTACTTAGCAACAAAAAGTCGAGTTCTAATTACCATCATCAACTTGAGTACTACCTATTCATTATATTTAAATGGCCTTTCAGCTATTGTCACACTAACTTATTAATTTAGTATGCCACCATAAAGTTATACATACTACTTGTATGTTGCAGTACATATAACTTGATTTTATTTTCAAATTAACTATATTGTATATTTCTTATTGGAACATCAAATAACCCCAGGGCCCAACTCCATAACCATCATAAATATGAGCCAGTTGCCAATACCCGAATTTTGATCACGTGATCATGGGATACTACAACAGTTGAGTGTGAAAACCAGCCATAAGTCACTTTTTTTCATTGCTGTTGTAACTTTGAAAAGTCACTAAATGAATGAATATAAGTGAAGAACTACCTGTTTTCTATTTTCCTGATATTTATTTCTTAATATTTGTGGCTCATAGATCCTTTAACAGTTCTAGACTTCGAGTCTGCTCTAGATATTAGCATTAACTTTTGCTTACATTTTTTCCTGTATTCATGTTGGTGCAATTATTTATAACATCATTACAGATGATAAATGACTATAATGTCTACTTATAGCAGGGTTTCCTTTTTTCTGTTTAAAAGCGATTGAAGGCAACAATGTGAGATCAACAGAGTATTTGATTGTACAATGCTTAGTATATTCTACCATATTCACAAAATTAAGAAGTGCCAAGCTAATTCCATCATAATATTGACTTCTGGGTTACAGTATGATATTGAGTGGACAAATTTGAAGAAATAAGGCATTTGATAAGGCATTAGCATACATAGAAGAATGCTGTATATCAGGAAATACTGTTCAATAAATAATTTGCAATGCAAAATAGATCTTGACACTGTTAATACAATGGTTCCCAAGGAATTATAGTTCCTAGGGAAATATAAGCAAAATACCTAATTTATTTATCATTTTCCCTATTAAATGAGTATCTCCTTTGAACATCACTTTCACTGGAAAATAGTTTTGAGTTTGCTTACATCATATTTATGAAAATGAACTTGGCTTGTATGCAGAAGTTCTTAACATGGTTTGCTTACATGGTTTTTGGAGCTGTTTATTTTCAGTTTTTTCATT